CAGGTTCATGAGAAAAAATGACTTTAAAGGTTTAGAGGGTTTCAGAAAGCTCTGCAGGATAAATAGACGTCAATACTGAATCCGTTTTTTTCTCTTTTGTGTCACATTTGTTAGTCAGCAGAGAGAGATTCAGTCATGTTAGTTTAAAGCCAACAGTCTTATTCAGCCAGTAAAGTAGAAAACAAACTAAAACACTCTAGCACAAAAAGCATTAAGTAGAAAAAAATGACATCGTAGCAGAGCTACAGCCAAAGCTATCAGGAGGCTTCACAATAAAACATTCTGGATAGATTCTAAAAGAAATGATGAAAAATAACAGTAAACCTAAATAAACAAGCAGTGAATATTCTCTTATTTTAAAGGGTTGAAATCCAAAAGGATTATTTAGATCCCTGCACTGAAGCCCTAGGCCCGCGGGTCGGCCCGAGGGCCTAGGGCTTCGGGCCAACGACTGTGTAATTACCTCGGACACGGGCCGGGCCGGGCGCCTTTATTTTTAATCGAATTCATTAAAAAAACTGAAACACTTAAACTCAGCAGCACCTGCCTGATTCTCACACACCGTTAGCTCAGTTAAGGTCTGTGTGGTTCATGAATGCGCCTATATAAACGAATTCTCAAACTGCTGATTGAAACATGTGCCCCTATTCTCAAATGCCATTTTATGTCCACTTTGATATGTCAGAAACCATTCATTTATTCTCATGAAAACGGCAGCACTCTATTATTCTATGAATAAATTCGCTCTGCAGTAAAAAAAAAATACAGCATTCATTGCAGGTTTTTTTTCTAACTGCAGAGCACATTTTCAGAGCGGCAGATTAAATTTACAAACGCTAATTGGGGGCGTTTATTTAATCTGCCGCTCTGAAAATGCGCTCTGCAGTTAGAAAATTAGAATGCTTCTTTTTTTCTAATTGCACAAGAGCGCATTTTCAGAGCAGATTACATTTACAAACGCATCCAATTGATATAGTGTTCGTAAATTTCATCTGCCGCTCGAAAAATACACTGTTAGAAAAAAAAGCTGCATGAATGCTGTTTTTCTTTCTTTTCTTTTCTTTTTTTTCTGCAGAACGCTTCTCACAGATAATTAGAATGCAGAGCATTCTATCACGCTAAAACATTATGAAAGGTTAAAAAAAGCCGGGCTTGGGTCGGGCCAGAGAATCCTGAAAACCTTCTCGGACCGGGTCGGGCTGGGGCTCCACCCCCTCGGGCCGGTCCGGACACGGGCTCAGATTTTAGGCCCGTGCAGGGCTCTATTATGGATATTTAAATGCCTGAATGTTACTTTTGTGTTGTTGCTAGAGTTGAATGGCTGTGGCAGCCATGGTGAGTTGGCTCCACTGGTTAATCAGATGCAGGAGCCACACGCTGTGGAACCAGTTCAGTTCAGTGGTCCATTAGATATTTTTCTAATAACTAAACAAGTTCTATTAGAAGGGTAAAAGCCAACGTTTTGAGTCTAGATGTATCATTTTTATGGGTTTGGTTTAATCACTACTGAGCAGCTTGCTGATGTTGATGTGCAGAAATATACTTATGATGCTCAGCAACCCAGGTTTAACCAGCTCCTGACTATGATGCCAGTTAGCTGTTTTTGTACTCAAACTTTGTCAAAATGATAAAGGAGAAACAATCAGAGAGGGATGTGTACAAAAGGTCATGTGTAACTACAGCTTCCATCTCTACAGTCCTGGAGCTCGCCTACACAGCAACACTTATCCTTCACAACACCCACAATTAAGTTTAACCTTAGTCAGCTGCACATCTACAGCCTGCTTCTAAAACTTTATATTTACACTACCGGCCAAAAGTTTTAGAACGCCCCAATTTTTCCATTTATTTATTGCAGTTTAAGTCATTCAAGTCCAATGAATAGCTTGAAATGGTACAAAGTTAAGTGGTGAACTGCCAGAGGTAAAAAAAAAAAGTAAGGTTACTCACTCAAAACTGAAAAATAATGTACATTTCAGAATAATACAAAAAGGCCCTTTTCAGGGAACACAGCTTAACAATGGAAGAGAGACAGACCATCATAATGCTTAAAAATGTAGATCTTTCCTACAGAGAAATTACAAAGAAAGTCAAGGTGTCAATGAGTACAGTTTCCATCACCATCAAAAGGCACTCAGAAACTGGGGTAAACTCTGACAGGAAGAGATTTGGCAGACCCAAAGCCACAGCTGCACCAGAGGACAACTTTCTGAGAGTTAACAGCTTGCATGATAGGCGGCTCACGGGACAACCGCTTCAAGCACAGCTTAATAGTGGTCGTAGTAAGAAAGTCTCAGTTTCAACTGTGAAGAGAAGACTTCGAGCTGCAGGTTTGACAGGATGAGTTGCAGCAAGAAAGACACTGCTAAGAGAAAGAGGCTTGCCTGGGCCATGAAACACCACCATTGGACTACTGAAGACAGGAAGAAGGTATTATGGACTGATGAATCCAAAATTTAAATCTTTGGTTCATCATGCAGGATCTTTGTACGCCGTCGAGTAGGTGAAAGGATGGTTCCACAATGTGTGGCATCAACTGTCAAACAAGGAGGAGGAAGTGTGATGGTCTGGGGCTGTTTTGTTAGATCCAGGGTTGGTGACTTGTACAGAGAGGCACCCTGAACCAAAACAGCTACCACAGCATTCTCCAGCGCCATGCAGTACCCTCTAGTATGCACCTAGTTTGTCAGGGGTTCATCCTACAGCAAGATAATGACCCAAAACATAAGTCCAAGCTATGCCAGAACTATCTCAGGAAAAAAGAACAAGATGGTAAGATTGTAAACATGGAGTGGCCAGCACGGTCTCCAGACTTAAACCCCATTAAGCTGGTTTGGGATGAATTGGACAGAAGAGTGAAAGCAAAGCAACCTACACGTGCCACACATTTATGGGAACTTCTGCAACAGATATGGGAAGAACTTTCTGAAGAACATGTGATTTCTATTGTAGAAAGAATGCCACGAGTGTGCTCAGCTGTTATATCTGCCAAAGGTGGCTACTTTCGTGAGTCAGGGTTTCCCCCAGCGCTTTATAAGCCTGGCGGCCCGCCAGGCTTTGCTTGGCCAACCTCCAGGCTAAGCATCATGCCCCCCTCACCCCCTCACCCCCCACCCCACCCCCACCCTACCGTGTCCGCTTACACAAACGGCGCAACGAAACTAGAGCCCTTCATCAGCTGAGAAACAGCTGCGGAACGTGTGCAACCCTGACTACTGGCAGGGCATAGCTGTTAATTGCCCAGATCTTGTTCTTGCCTTTGAGCGGTGTTCTTTGGACTTGCCTTACTCGTTGTAGGTATTTGGCTGTGGCTCCTTTCCTTGCAGTTTCATTGAGGTTGCCATTTGCTTGTGGTAAACCAGTGTACTTGTAGCTGTCCTCAATGTCTGCTGTTTTTCCTTCTGGCAGTGAGACCCCTTCTGTGTGGACCACACTCCCACCAAAATAGGAAGGGCTTTTCTTTGTTGAGTAATGCCCTTTTATAGTCACTTGTCTGCTGGACACCTCTTAAGCAGTCCATTAAGGAGGCAACAGAATAGACTTGGCCAGTATTACAGCATTACTGTATACAGCCGGTATTAAAAAATAGCAACAGTGTCTGTTTCAATACCGTCATGAAAAAAAAACTGTGAATGTAGGCGACGAGAATTAAAATAACAAAAGCAAAAATAAAAAAATTAATTATGCAAAACATACAATTTTGGTAACAGGGTGGTTATGGTTAGGGTAAGGGTTATTTTTGTGAGTGGGTCATTTCCACTCACAGCTGGGTGCAAAAATAACAGATCTCGGGGGGGACACATATTGACATATGATGTGAATCAGCACTCAGTTGGTACTATGGAATTCGGTCGGTGACTTAAAAAGTACCAACTTCAGTACCCATCCCTATTCTGGAGCACCCACTTTATACCACCATCGTGTAATCTTTGTGAAAACATGATGATGCCACATTACCGCCACAGGCTGACCACTTATAAATGACCTAAAGCTCCCTGGTGCTGCCTCAGCTTTGCAGCAACGTAGCACCATAGTTTTACGAAAGAGGCCGGAATTGTAGGCAAGTTTTATTAATCATTCCTCGATTGTCCGCTGGTTAGGAGGAACAACAACCACTGACTCCTTCTCTTCATCTAACCTGGGATGGAAACTGGTACTGTTGTATTTTAGTTTAGTTTTACATAACTTGCCTTTAATCCTGGTGAGTAAATCTCATGCTCAGTGGCTGAAGCTGTGAAACCAATGAACCGCCATTGCGGTTTCGTTTTTTCCACTGGTCCGTCCCCTAAAGAGTCCAGGCAGCATGTGTAACTTTTAAGTTTTTGCCACGCTTCGAGGCTGTTTTTCTGCTTTTATTTATAGTCATTTATGAACGTTTATAAATCGAGTTTGAATCGGCACGTGTCGCATAACGATGCATCAATTAAATGGTTAACGGGAACATTTCTAGTGTGTGTGTATTTTAATGAAACTCTCAGAAAGTCAACACTGACTTAATTTACAGCTTAATAACTTTTGGTCAACTCCTTTCAAGATGGACGCCCCCCACACCTAAATGATCATGACTGAGCTAGTCACGTGTAGTTGTAGCTGACAGACTTTAATATCACCCAATCTGAGAGCTAACAAATCCCACAAGAACGACCAAAACAGCTCTGATTCCCCTCATGAGATGATCTTAGGCTAAATCTCTAGAATAAAAACCAGAAGGCCGTATGCATAGGCCTTTAACAAGATAACAAGGTATGAGGCTTATTCAATAAAGTGTTTTCTTTCCACTCTGCAGCCACATCTGTTTTGCTAGCTGCCAGAAAGTCGCTGATCTCCACAAAAACTCAATTTACTAATCTGTTGGCTTGTCAGCCTTGGTGTGACTGCTGCTGCTGCCTTGACAGCTGCTGTTAACACTCGCTAAAACCTCATCACGACAGCAGAGGCACGACTGACTCATACACACCCACACCATCTGTATCATGAACACACACATACTTATACTGTACCTGTGTGGTTGGAGAACTGCACAGAGTTGATTGAATCCACCTCAAACCCTAAAACCTGCAACAAAAAAAGAATATCAGGATCAGCTGGTTTATGGTTTACAGCAAACACGCTACAAGCTTAAACAGGAGCAGCAGCATTTTGCCACATTAGAATCTCCTTAATAAATACTAATCCAATATTCCAACTCATTTTTGGTCTCATGGAGACATTTGTTCACTCTCAGCACCAGCTCGTATTCTTTATATTGTGCTACTCAGCTGATTTAGCTCATTTACAGCCAAATACAGAAAACATGCTGGCTGAGACAGCGGAGGATAAAATACTGATTCAGTTTGGTGTAAAAACTAAAGGGACCCTAAACTCTACTGTGAAGATAAAATCGTTCTCATTTGTTAAAAAAAAAAAAGACAGCCCTCCGTGTCCTCTCTGTCCTAGTAGATTTCAAAATAAATTACCAGCGAGAGGCGCACTCGTGTCTCATCCACATGCGCAGTCAATCGCTTTCTGAATGACTTAATTTAATTGGACTACAGCGGACACAGTGAATGGCTTCTTTGTTCTTGTCAATGGACTGTGACTTTCCGATAGAAGATTCTGCTTTCAGAAAGAAGCTAGAAAACAAGCGGGTTTGAGATTAACGTTGACCTTGGCGGGGTTGAAATGCTCCTCAGAGCTCTGCGTCTGATTTCTGGAAGGTGAACGACTGTTTCTGTATCACAAGTGTGACAAAAATTCATCAGATGCAGAACAAGGATGGATTTCTGAAACCACAGAGCCACAGTAATTCACTTAAATATTGACCTTGTTGTTGTTTACAGCCTTAATGATTTTCTGCAAATGTATAAGTGAGTAGACTAATTTGTGTCGCGGTCACAGCCATAAAGCTGCATGCAGTCGATATATTCTGCAGTTACAGCTTTGAATAAATGAACAAGCTTATGCGTGAATGCAGAGAAATCTACATTATATTTAGAGCATAGGAAAGGCAGAACCGCTATTATTAACATGCTGCAAGCAAAGCACTGCAGTAGCCTACTTTCTCATCCTCTCCTGCACGATACAATCAAACCATCTGGACCATTTCCTGAAAAAGCATCTCATGCGGAGACTCTCCAGCTAAGACGTGCACGTGTGAGCAGGCAGCTGCTGGGAAAATCTGCTGTAGACATTCTGTGGTGTTCCAGGGCAAAAATAAAAGGAAATTCCCCAAACACATTAACATAGCTGAAGGTCTGAGATCTCTTAAAGGAATAAACATCATGTGGCACCTTTCTAGGATCATTTAATGTTTAAATTTGACACCGTTGATTTGGTCAAAGTCTTTAAATATCATCTCGTGCTATCAATTGTGAATGACTCAGATTCTACTGAAGGACATTTAATAATAATAATAATAATAATGCATTGAACTTATATAGCGCTTTTCTAGACACCCAAAGACGCTTTCACACACTCTCACATTCACACGCTGCTAGTGATGGTAAGCTACTTGTAGCCACAGCCGCCCTGGGGAGGTCTGACAGAGGCGAGGCTGCCATTTGGCGCCGTCGGCCCCTCTGACCACCACTAATACAGGCAAGTTGGGTGAAGTGTCTTGCCCAAGGACACAACAGCAGGATACCCCTGGCGGGAGCTGGAATCGAACCCACGACCCTCCGATCATGAGGCAACCCGCTCTACCACCTGAGCTACTGCTGCCCCATTTGACCCAATATCTGTAAAATTACTTGTGGTATGGCCATTTTAATTACTAAGGCTAATTAGCTGTGGCAGCCATCTTGAGTTGACCTCTAAAAGACTATCATTTGTGTAAAATACTCAAGTCTCACTTTGTAAGAGTTTATTACTATCGATAGATAAGGTCCATAAAGACAGGCAAGGCTGCCTTCAACAGTTAAAGCCAATGTTTTAGGCTGAAGGCACCAGTATTACCCATGATTCCCAGTCTGCACCCACTGGTAGAGGACAGTCGTCTTTATAAACATCTGAGTGTGTGATGGAAACAGACCCAATCTGAGTCACTCAGTTATTACATTTCTAGAGTCTAATCTATCATATGAAGTGATGGTCGACCCAACTGAAAACACACTCACACTACTACAGTGCTAAATTCTGTAAAACTGAGTATTTTGTGTTTGCTAAAGTTTATTGGGTTGATTCCAAAAGTTACCCACATCCCTGGTTTAAAAAGTCGGGATGGACTGGATTTCTATTGTGCTTTCAATAAATGATAAATGACCCACACTTGTATAGCACCTATCAGAGTCAGAGGACTCCAAAGTGCTTTACACTACAGAGTATCATTCATCCATTCACACACTGGTGGTGATGAGCTAGTGTAGCCACAGCTGCTCTGGTTCGCACTGACAGAGGCGAGGCTGCTGAGCACAGGTGCCACCGGTCCCTCTGACCACCACCAGCAGTTAAGGTGGATTTGGTGTCTTGCCCAAGGACACAACAGCATCACTCCCTGCCATTGCAAATAGTATATTGGGGGAATAGGGGGTGTATATGGGGTTCAGTGTTTTGCCCCAAAACACCTTGATATGTGGTGGAGAACTGGGATTGCACCAACAGAAATCTTGTGCAATAGCATTTTGAGAATGTGTGGGGAATGAGTTACGAATGGTTGATAATTGTTGTGTTGTGTAAAGCGGGTGTTCAGGGACTCTAGAAGGTGATGTATCAATACAGGTAATTTATCAATTTTACAATTTACCCGCAGACTCTAAAATGTCCTTAAAGGTGAAGTGTGTAAGAATAAAGAAAGATTTCTACAGTGAAATTACCACAAAACAGTCTAATGCCGCAATCATGTTGGAAGGAAGGTTACATTGAAACAGATTTCATTCTCAGCCGGCTGCGAGGGTTGTCAGTTTTTCTCTTTTCAAAATAAATGTTGGAGGGACATAGCTACTGTTTACCATCAGTGAGTGTGAGGTTGTTGTGTCTCCTGCGAGCTAACGCTGCAGCGCCAACATTTGTAATTCAACTACGGCCAGCAGAAAGCTCCAGAGTTTTTTAAAGTACCAAAGCCAGTACACAGGAGTGACCCAAAAGTTATTTCACGGCATCTTCTTGTTTTACTCTATCGGGTAAAGAAGGCTAGAGGCTGTTGAGCTAAGCATGCTAACGGTAAATTAGAACCAACTAGTCAGCTCTAAAAATATCTCAAGCTAATTTTTCAGCCGCCAACATCTCGATATTACAGTGAAATGTGTGTGAAGCACAGTAATGAGTCAATGGTGGTGTTTTACTTCCTTAAATGAGTCGTTCAGAACTATCAATTCAATTCAACTCAATTCAATTGAAATATACTTTATTTATCCCAGAGGGAAATTAGAGTTTCAGTACACACAACTCTGAGATCAGACATACGTAGGCAAAGACACATGACAAGAATTGGTGACTGTGGTCATTCGCAACCCGAGTCGCGCTACCGTAATAGAGATCAGAGGGTTACACGAGGATTGGGTCAGGTGGAGGAAAAAAAGGCACTTCAGCGTTACCCTCCACAGAGAGGGCAGCTTTGCTATGCAAAAAACACCTCAGACAACTGCACACAACATAAGTGTCCACTAGGTGGGGTGGTAGGGTTTGGGACTCTCCACACGTTAGTGAATGCAGCCGCGAAAAGCGGCGCTCATCACCTCAGTCTGGACAGGGGGGGGGGGTCGTTGGGTTTAGAGAGCACAGTGACTCCTGGAACGATTCAGCTCGCAGTCCCGCCCAGGCTGGGATAGGGAGAAAGAGTTGCCATGGCGACGGCAGCATTCCACATTTCTTCGGGGTGGGGTGGGGGGTGGGGGGGGGTCAGCCTCACAGTTTTACAGCAAGTTAACAGCAAGAAAAACAACACTTTCTCTATGCCAGAGGCATATTACCGTAATAAGTGTAGTAAGTGATTTCTGAAAGTTTAATTAAAATCCATCCAGTGGTCCATGAGACATTTTGCTGACAGACAGAACAGACCAATGGAAAAAGTTTGACTAAAAGGAACATTTCCTTCCTGCGGCTAATGCAGGCGATAAGATAAGGCTATTTTCATGTCGAGATTGCATACGTAACTGTGAGTTACTAATTGTATTTCAAAAAGATCGAGTACTGCACAGTCTCTCTGTGAACAAGCACCTTCAATAAACTCTGAGTTATCAAAGAAAAAAGAATGATCAATAGAAATATTGACAGAGTAACTTTTCCTCTGCAGGGCACACTGGGTGAACTTCCTCCTTCCTTCTGTACAAAGCCTTAACCGCTCCATTATGGACCTGAATGTCAGTCAGAACAGGTCATTGATGCTGACTAACATCTCAGTTTAACTCCATGTTCATAAAGCTGGCTCCATGCAGCTCAGCTCCGTTTTCATCTTCTATTACATCACCAAGAGTAATCCGGGAGCAGCCAATCAGGGCACATCTTCCTCATCCTGCCGTCTCCTACTGCTAGCAGGCCAGATTCTCCGTTCTGACTATGCAGGGAGAGGGAAGCCCAGCACGCTTGCTGACATCATCGTCATCATCTTACTCTTATCGCTCACACCAGCTGAATCACGTTTCTCACCCAGAACGTGGAGGGCTGACCCATCAGCTTTCTGCTCAAAGTCTGAGGGGGTTCGCTTACAAGCTGACTATAAGTGAATAATCTGAAACTGTCTTATGACTAAAGCACAGCTTTGAGATTTGTAACATTGTTTTACTGCTAAATGAGCAAATGTGCTCAATGGCTGTTTTTTCTCCCCAATTTAATCAAAATGTTGAGTCTGAACAAAAATGGTTCTGCATGAAAGGATTAATTATAGTTTACAGCAGGAGCAAATTACTTGAAATGTTTGACTTAAACTGAAAAATGCTATTGTGTACTGCATGTAAAGAGCTGGCATGACCTGCAGAACTCTAAACTAGTCTCACGTGTCAGATTGAACATGTTGAGTTAAAGGGACTCTAAAGGCAAATCCTTTAGCAAAGTATCTCCTGAACCATGGGACAGATGTCAAAATAGCTTTCAGAATGTAATCACTGGAAATATGTCTAGTGAACATCTGCAATCAGCATAAAAGGAGATAGCTGTCACATCTGATCAGACTCACCAAATACACAAATCGCTGTAACTTAGTTTTGCAGATATTGTGTTATGATTCAATCTCCTGGACAGTTTTCATGCCTCCCTGCACCCAATCACCCAACCATGTTCACCTGTTCTCCCTGCAGCCAAAGCTCCAGGCTGTTCCACGTCATTCCAAGCCATTTAAGACAAGTCAAGCTCGCTGTGTTTCCTCAAAACAAGTCAAGTCTAATCCATGCTATTGCTATTTTACTGAGAATTGACAACGCGGACTGCTAGGTGGCAGCGGTATTTACAGTCTTTATTCTGATGGAAAAAAAGAGATCTCGCCACAACACTGGATCTTTCTTGGAAGTGTCTGAGTTTTCTAATTAAATTCAGTTGTAAAATTAGAAAATATTGTCTGACCTAAAAATATCATAATATATCATATCGTCTCCCCTGTACAATACCATGCTGCCAGCTTCTGGCCAGTACACACCCCTATATGCTGTGCTATTCTGAGCCACGTCACACCAAGCCAATCCATCCTGTGTTTCCCGAATCAGACAAACTTTTATTATTTGCTTCATTCTGTGCATCGGCTGAACCCTTGAGGAGTCATACTCTGAGTCCTAACAGGTCATACAAGATTGTGCAGCAACACATGAGATTACATAGTTATTTTGAAGATTTTACAAAATGGTTATAACTCCATCGTTTCTCCACATAAATCCGTCTCTGTTTAAAACTCTGGAAACACTGTGTTTGTGTGCTCCTCTGTGACGTGAACAGTAAATGCATTACTATCCATAAAGATTGTGCCTTTAAAGAAACAACTTTCTTAAAGTAAATGCACCATGGTGACTAATTCCCCACACCTGTGTGTGGATTTGAAAAGTATAAACCTCAGCTGTGAACGTTTGTATTCTGCACATTATTTCACCGTGAGAGTGGTACAAAAGAGCCTGAGTGAGGCATGGAGCTTTACTGATGCACTGAACCCTGGTGACAAGCATCAAAGAGCAACAGCCATTAGAAAACCACAAAAATAGATCCTGCAGGCTAAAAATAACCCCAGCATTTCTAACAAGCAGACTCGCTAACTTTAACATTTCTACCAGAGAAAAGTATCAGCCTCTTCATCATCGCAGTGGCTGTTACCGGTCCTGTCATCCTACTGTCACTTTCAGCGCCAGCAGGAGCTAATACCCTCCACGTCTCTCACTTAATAGCAAATCAATGGCTTATTTTAGAAGCTGCATCCTGCTCTTTAATGTGCTGGTCATGTTTCCTGCCTTCAGGTGAGGTTGCTATTGTTTATGCAGGTAATGATTACTCAACGTGAACTCATCAGTCACGTTTTGAGTCACCAAGAAGCTGCATCAACAGTTTTCAAGTCAAATAATAAATCCCAGTTGATTGGAAGTGAGGTCGAAAATGGTAATCATGACGTAATTAAGAGTGGCGCTTAAAAAATTGGTTAAACAGAAAATCATCAGCTGTTTTTGTAACTGTAGAAGTCAAGTTGCCTCTGGATCGTTTATATCACTTATTAACCACAGCAGAAAGCAACACATCCAGCCTGTTAATGTGCAACCAAACATGGAATCAGTCCTTTATTTAAGCATTTAACAGCTGATCCTATTGGTCTGGCAGAAATTATAACAGAAACAAGTAAGTAGTTTTAAATATGCAGCTATTCTAAAAAAGTAAATTATTATAGAAGCAGTGACTATCAGTCCATTCCACAGTAAAGGTTAAAGCTCAAATGAACCACATTTGTCTCCAGTCAGATATTTTTATTGTTACAGCAGAAAGACCAACACAGATCTGAAACAGTAAGAATGGTTTAGCTGGGGAACAGAATGGATTCCTCTAACTTTTAGTTTTTGCAATATTTTTCAATATTAAGTTAAACAAATACCTGACAGGCATCATCAAACAACTGAAGCCTCATTAGGAATAATTTAAAATAGAAACCATGTCAATACTTGGTTTTTGGACATATAATTTCCCAATATATAGATATCTCAGTGTGAGGTAACTATCATGTTTATGGTTAAATGGCAGCAAAATCATGAGTCCTGGAACCCCCCAAGGCGCTTTACAACACAATCAGTCCTTCACCCATTCACACACTGGTGGGGATTAGCTACAATGTAGCCACAGCTGCACTGGGGCGCACTGACAGAGTCGAGGCTGCCGGGCACAGGCGCCATCAGTCCCTCCGACCACCACCGGCAGGCAACGTGGGTTAAGTGTCTTGCCCAAGGACACAACGACAGCGACAGACTGAGCGGGGCTCGAACCTGCGACCTTCCGATTACGGGGCGAGCACTTAACTCCTGCCACCGTCGCCCCAAATCATAATGATTTATCCTTAACGTTATAAGAACCCAGAAAGAATTTAAAGAAATACATCTCATCTTGATGAATATTTCTTTCTTCATCTTTAAGTGTTTCAGAAACGTTTCCTGGTGATGAACCTGACAGAACACTCAGCTGGCTCCATTATCGGACACCCTCAATGACAGGTGTCGTGCCACAGCTCCTCCGGCAGCAGGAAACTGCGTCCCCTTTCTTTGCTGCCTAAATCTGCACTTCTGCACATAATCGGGGCACGAATGATGGGGGTTCCAGCTTTTTGACACTGACGAACGTTAGTAAGCTTGAAATAAAGGGTCATATTCTGTCGGGAACAGAATTTTGTACATCGCCGCTCCTCTTTGACATCTCCATTTAACTTCGTTATTTCTGAGTTCTAACAGCAAGAGCGTTGTTTATACCCTATTTATATAACAGCGTATAAAAAAATGCAATGTAAACGTGTCCAAAGTCAAACTAAACATCTCAGCCGGACTCGATTCTGAGTAACGGGCGCTGTCCGATAATGGGCGCAGGGAAGTTGCATTTACCTGTAACGGGAAAGAGGCGCTCTTGTTGCCCACGTATCCCCGGACTACATGGCTCTGTATGGACAGGACACGGCATTCCATGGCGGCTCCCGGTCAGCCGAGGACAGACGTAGATATTCCCTTACTCAAAGACAGCCACGTCCACTCATAACAACACGAGGAAACACGGTTTAAAGGAGAAAACGCGGCGTCGCCGGTCCGAGCGAAGCTACGTTAGTTAGCCTGCTAGCTAGCCAATTGAGTGTAGGCAATCTGTGTGACCGCCTAAACACAATGACGTCAACACAGCTGGATTTGAATGAGCGCAAAAGGGCAAAGATTTTCCACTTTTGTATTTATTCCCTCCACGTTATGAAGCCGATCTACCTTTGGAGTTGTTTCACATAAATGCATTATGCACGTGTGCCAAAAATAAGTTCTGAATTAATAAGATTTGGTGTTTTTGTTGCAATCCACAATTTTTCTGGTGTGTGTGTGTGAGAGAGAGAACGTGCCTGTGTTGTGACTCACACCATTTCTCTGACAGAGTCGTGACTGAAAGGGATTTGCCTTGGAAAAGGCTGCATCTGTCACCACACAGCACCCCCCCCCCCACACACACACACACACACACACACACACACGCACACACACAGTAAAAAACAGTTTTTAAATGCAGGTAAGTTAGACAGGCGGTACGGCAAGCCAAGTTATCAAACAGTAGTAAGACTGGATCAATAAAAAACACATTCAGCCAAAAGTGTTACTTCCAGCAGAAAATCATAATTCACATATCCCATTCTTCATTGGATCAATGGCATCACATTTTCTGGGGAACAGTGTAATTGTGGATATCTTGAGGCATTCGTAGTGATAGGGCACCCAGGAGGAAGCATAACTTTAGATAAAGCCCTGACCCCAGGCAGGCTGTAAAATATAAACAAAGCTTCTTTGTTGTTTTCCATTGGTAAAAAGTGAAGCCACATTATCTTGTTTGCCATATTGATTTTCTGAGGACCAAAGACTTGGGCTGGGCGATATGGCCTAAAATCAATATCCTAATATATTGAGGATTTCGCCTTGATAACGATTAATGGACGATAACTACAGGTATGCGCAGAAACAAAAGTTGTCCACTAGATGGGGCTGTCACATGTATTACGTTGAATCACATTTTTACTGACTCAAGGTGGTACAGCTTCATAGGTACATGAATGCTGCCAACCTACACACATATTTTCATTTTTTATTTTCAGATTTATTGACACGAGGAAAATGATCTCAATAAAAGTCAGAAATTTCGATGACGATAAATTTTCGATTTATTGCCCAGCCCTACTTAAGACCCAGAGCCGATTATCCCTTTAAACGCGCTCCTGTCTTGATATTTCTAACGAAAGGTGAACTACAAAAGCTCTAACCTTTGTGTTTATGCCCTTTTGTGTGTGTCCATTCCAAAGTTCCTATTTTTATGTGTTGTAACAATTTAATTAAAAAGAAAACACATTAAAACCAAACATCTCCAGTCTTGGTCCAAGCAAGTTTTATTTTGAACATTGAAAGACAACAATGAAACATTATTTTCTACAGTGATAATTAACAGCAGGCTGTCGCCGTCGCTCCCGCAGTGCTCATATATTAACTCTCAGATAACAGCAGTAATATACACAACCTGGAAGGTAGACAGTACGAAGGAACTTTAACTGGACTGGGTTAGTTTCAGTACAGCATGGAGAAAGGAGCAGAGGGTTAACCTAACACCATCATCAACAAACATCTGTTCACACATTCCTCCACACAGTCAAGCTGCTGATTGGACAGTGGCTGGTCACAAACATTTCTTTACTGTAACCATGGCAATAAATTAAAAGTACTAAGTAGATAATCTAGAAAAGTAGATAGTTACCTAACACATCCACAACCTGGCTGTTGTCCGTCCCATTGGCTAGCACAGCCGCCATTTTGAATAATCAGGTAGTTAAGACTAAGAGGAAAATTATCACTGCCTGCAAAGTAACTCCTGAGTTGGTTTTAAACCTGGAAAATCAAGTAGATGATATGCTAATCGGTGAATAAAATGGAGTGTTTTGTGGAAGGAGTTATTTCATTTAATGATGTGCTAGCAAGTTCATGTAAAGGCACCATAATTTTAAACACCCTCATCGTTTAACAAACCATCTAATCTCAAACACTGGAGGCATTTGTTAAATGACAATAAACACTTAGCCCGTGAGATGGCCAGCCAATTTTCTTTGTTAAATTTAACCTTCACTGTGGCAGATTTTTAAAAAAATCCCTTAATAAGAAAACAAACACTTGGCTAACAGTTGAAGTTAGATTTTGTCTGTTTTTCCTAAAACAAACAAAAAAATAAAGAACTTAGCCAAAGACTAGCTGTTTGGCACTTTGCACAGTGCCTCACTCATTTGTTGTTTGAATCTAACAAGGCAAAGAGACCCCAAAAACAGAGAAGAACAAACCATAGGTACACTAAATACATGCATTGCTGAAAGCAGTTCAAACTAGACTGAAAATACTTTAAAACAATTGTGGTCCGGTAACTTTTAACCATATGTCAGAGGTTGAGGAGATTTTACTGCCACTTTTAAAATGTATTTCTTTGTAAAAAAAAAACTATACATACTTGCTAGCTGTTGTTTACTGTTGTAGACTCTTTTTGTTCTTTAAGACTAATGTGTTAACAGCTGCTAAAAGCTAATGGCTAGTCCAAGTTAATGACCAATCCAAGCTAATGGCTGTTCCAAACTATCGGCTAGTCCAAGGTAACAGCATATCTGGGCTAAAGGCTGGTCCAAACTATGGGCTAGCCTAAGCTAACAGCCAAAACAAGCTAATGGCTAGTTCAAGCAAAAAACCAATCCAAGCTAACAGATGATTAAAAACTAATGGCTAGTCTGAACTAGAGGTTAGAGTTAGCTAAAGGCTAGTCCAAGCTAATGGCTAGTTGGACTACAGCCAAGGTCAAAGTGCGTTGGTGCCATCTTAAAACAGCTACAATCGGGGATTTTTCACGACTTTCTGCAAGCATCATTTTATATATTATTTATATATTATAGGTTTATAAATCATCGCTATACCAAACACTGAAATTTAGCAGATTGGAGCCGTTTAAGATGCTAAGAAACGTCTGGGTTACTCTGACGAGCAGTTGGCCCATCAATCCTGAAGGATGTTAAAAAAGCTGTCTGCAACAAGTAAGATAGCAATCATTTATAACTTTTACACAGAAAAAAACTTCCAAATGATCAGAAATGTTTTGTGTTGTTAAAATGGACTTTTTTAATCTACGTTTTTATTAGATAATAAATGTATCTGCAGCTGTCGCACAAATACATCCAGCTGTAGCTGAAATAAAGCAAAATGGAGGAAAAGCAAATCTTTCACAATATTAATAATGAAAAACATATTTATATTTTTAAATGATCCATTTAGGGATGATAATTTATCTGGAGACTCCTGGAAGCAGAGGCTTCAGATTTGAAGCTTCAGATATCATCAAGAGGAGAGAGTGATTTGTTTTTATTTAAAAAGCAAATAAAAGATTGATAGTAGTCGGACTATAGCTCATTAGTTCAAGACTATTTCAGCTAATGTCTGTTGAGATCATGAGGCAGGAAGCAACTAAGAGCAGCTACAATAAATGTGTATCAAGGTATAGGCAGAGACAATTATGCTAAAATGAAACAGACTTGCCTTCAAATATTTGTGTTGTTCCAGGCAATATTTCCTACACTGATTACTCAAAATGGTCTCTTTGATGGCTTAAAGAAACACATTTTTTCTCCAGGGAGTACCAACGAGCTTCTTCCGCTTTAAAGAAGCATGTTCCCTTGTTGCATAGAGACGACCACTAGGACAGCTTGAGATGTGTGACTGAAAGGATCTAAATCTATGACCAATATTGGTCCCAAGCATTAAAAAAACGAGTTAAGAAATTCTTCCTCCCAGTACTTTGATTTAATTCAGCTTTGAACTTGTTCACTGTACCCACTGTAACTTTAACTGGTACCTCATCATGACCGTAGTCTGTAGTCTACACTGGACACTTGTCATGTATGGAGTAAAAATCTGTCTATACTTTAGCTTATTAGCACTGTTAGTATTTCTCAATACAACTGTACATATTTACCCTTTCCTAGGATCCTGTGGCAAGTGTTCAGCAGACAATAAAAAACAACCCTCTGAATGTCCCTTTATGTTCTGTAGCTTGGAAAGGTCTGTAGGATGCGGCATAAAAAATGTAGACTAAACTTGCGCTTTACGTTGCCTGTCCACCTTACGCGCGCACACACACACACACACACACATGCGCACGGATACACACAGCAGTTTGTTTAGATGACAAAGGGATTGTCACCAGAGCGTCTGTAGGACAGACTGGCTGAAGCAGCAGGAGGAAACAGGAAAAACCCATCTGATGTTCAGCTTTGGACCACACGGAAGGAGGACACGAGCAGAATAGACTGGACACAATTGGGCTGGAAACTGGTCTAGGTTTGATTTCTAGATGGATCCATTTCCATCATGGTGCAGATGAGTTAATCTGGATAGCCCGATATGCTAGATAGTGAATGAGAGTTTGGGGAAATGACAGAATCGTGGAGTCAAACACGCCACATTTCTAGACAGGGACACCTTTCAGCAACTATCTATTATTATGAGGAATAATATAAACATTCTACTTGAAAAGCTCCAGACCAAAGCAGGTCTCCAGTCTGGTCTGTTCCAGTCCAGCTGCGGAGTCCAGTACCCATCTCTGATCCCTTTTTTGGCCCAATCCAGTTTTCGGGGTTCACGGTTCCTCAAACAGCTGGAGGTCCAGCCTAACAACGATCTCCCCTGTGGGGACCTCGTGGAGCAGCAGCCTCTTTGTGATTGGTCCTTTTGAGCCCTGGTCTTTTTTAATTTCAGCCAACCGGATCTCAGTCCTGCCGAGGAAATCTGCAGGAAACAGGATGAGAGGATAAATCTGAAGCATCTTTAACCTGGACGGGTGACAGGAAACAGGATGGTGTAAAAACTGTTACAGACCATCAGGAGAGAACTGGTCTCGCTCAAACACAGTGATGCAGAGGACGTCCTGCTCAAGGTCCTTTATAAAAAACTGACAGTTGGAATTCCACTTGGGATTCAATGTGTCCTGCACACACAGAAGACAGCAAACTGAACCAGCGGAGTTCCTCTCAGAGAAATCATATTTGGCCTCGTGTAAACAATGACATTTATTAACGTGATAGAGCCATTCGCTATTTTACTGACCAGTGAGACACAAGCTCAAAATTAGGCTCAATGTTCGTAGAAGTTGAGCCATCAAACTAGAGCTGTGTCCAAATCCTTCCCAGGTTGCATTAGAAGGGAGATTACATCAGTGATGCAACAGAGGCTGTCCACATTCAGGCATCTCCAAATTTGTCTTTCTTGTCCCCAAATTTGAAGGATGGCTCTGGTGTATCCTTACTGGCCCACACCATCCCAGGATTCATAGCTAGCCAAAAATGACTTTTGTTCTTGTAACAACGGTGGACGAAGTGGGAGAGGATAAAAGTTTTCAATGTTTGGTTAACCCTCTGGAGGCAGGCGTTGCAGATTCGCAATAGTTAAAACCTACCTACCTGATTACTTCACATACGTGTTTCATGAGCATTTTTTAACTCAGAAGTACCCCTGAAGGACTTAGTTTTTTGTCCTTTTATCAAAACTTATTTTGAGCCTGAGAGGGTTAATAATATATGGTGGTACAAAGATTAAAAGTGGTTGTGTTGTTTAGTTGTTGTAATTATGTTTAAATGTATGTTTTTCCAGAAATCATAAGAAAAATACTTGAAAGCAAGCTCACACTTCAGTATTCACCACTCATCCAACGTGTGAAACCTGCTGTGAGGACAATTAAAGTGTGGTCAGAGGGGACAGACGCGGTGCTCCAGGACAGATTTAAAAACACAGACTGGAATATGTTCACCAACACAGACCTGGACCAGTACGCCTAATCTGTACTGGATTACATCTCCGTAACCACAGACAGTGTCACCACCCAGAAAAGGATCACCATGTACCCCAATCAGAAGCCTTGGATGAACCGGGATGTTCGTCTCCTACTGAAGGCCCGCAACACCGCTTTTAGGACAGGAGATGCACACACCTACAGTACAGCCAGGGCTAATCTAAAGAAGGGCATCAAAAAAGCCAAACACCATTACAAAAAGAAGATAGAAGAACACTTCTCCAACTCCAACCCCTGACACATGTGGCAAGGACTCCAGACCATCAGAGACTACAGGATCACCAAACCCTCCCCCGCATCCTCTGACGTTTCCTTCCTCAACAAGCTCAACAACTTTTATGCTCATTTTGAGCGAGGGAACCTCACAACCACAACCATAACAGACATGACGCCAGACCACCAACCTCTGACTCTCTCCCCCACCAATGTACGAGCAGTGCTGAGCAGGATCAATGTCCACAAGGCTGCAGGCCCTGATGGCATCCCTGGGCATGTTCTCAGAGCGTGCTCTGGGGAGCACGCAGGTGTGCTCACAGACATATTCAATCTGTCCTTGGCCCATGCTGTGGTACCGGCCTGCTTCAAATCCAGCTCCATCGTCCCGATACCCAAAAACTCCAACCCATCTAGCCTCAATGACTACCGCCCGGTAGCACTCACCCCCATCATCACTAAGTGCTTAGAGCAGCTGGTCTTAGCACACTTCAAATCCAGTCTTCCCCCCCCCACCCTGGACCCCCACCAATTTGCATACCGCCAGAACAGGAGCACAGAGGATGCAGTCTCCATTGCACTGCACTCTGTCCTCTCACACTTGGACAACAACAACACCTACGCCAGAATGCTGTTTATAGACTTCAGTTCAGCATTCAATACAATCCACCCCTCACAACTCATCAGGAAACTGACAGACCTGGGGATCAGTTCCCTCACCTGCAAATGGTTACTGGACTTCCTGACCAACCGCCCTCAACATGTCCGACTGGATAACCGCTGCTCATCCACAATCACAATGAATCCTGGTGTACCACAAGGCTGTGTGATGAGCCCTTTCCTCTACTCCCTTTTCACCCACGACTGCAGACCTGCTGATGGTTCCAACACCATCATTAAGTTTGCAGATGACACCACGGTGATGGGCCTCATCAGTGATGATGATGAGACCGCCTACAGGGAGGAGGTGGACCGTCTGACTGAGTGGTGCGACACAAACAACCTGCTGCTCAACACTGAGAAGACTAAGGAGCTCATCGTGGACTACAGGAGGAATGCTGACCCACATCCACCCATCCACATTAAGGGGACGGCAGTGGAGCGTGTGAGCAGCTTCAAGTTCCTGGGAGTCCACATCTCAGAGGATCTCACCTGGACTACCAACTGCTCCAAGCTGGTCAAGAAGGCTCACCAGCACCTCTTCTTCTTGAGGACTCTGAAGAAGAACAACCTGTCCTCAGACATCCTGGTGAACTTCTATCGCTGCACCATCGAGAGCATCCTGACCAACTGTATAACAGTCTGGTATGGGAACTGCTCCGCCTCGGACCGGAAGGCGTTGCAGAGGGTCGGGAAAACTGCCCAGCGCATCGCCGGTGCACCACTTCCTGCCATAAAGGACATCTACAGAAAGCGGTGTCTGAAAAGGGCTGGGAAAATCATCAGAGACCACAGTCACCCATCACATGCACTGATCACCCTGCTGCCCTCTGGGAGACGTTACAGGAGCCTCCGGACTAAGACCACCAGGTACTCTTCCCCACAGCTGTCAGACTCCTGAACTCTGCCTCCTGACATATGACCCACGTTAAACTCATGGACTGCTTGTATTAACTACAGCCTGTACATACTTGTAGTCATAGAATACGCATAAAATAATTCATACCGTGTACATTATAACATACGTAATAGATCCATTTCTGTAATATACTTACACATCTATATTATTGCTAATATATATTGTTCTACATCTATATCACGGCTAAAGCACTTCTGGATGGATGCAAACTGCATTTCGTTGCCCTGTACCTGTACATGTGCAATGACAATAAAGTTGAATTCTATTCTATTCTAATTCAATATGGAGGGTCCAATTTTTCTTCGTGTATTTCTATCAAGTTCAGTTTGAACTTCAGTTTGGCACTGTCACTGTTGCTAAGCGACAGGACATATGTTGAAGCAGGGACAGGAATAAATACGAAGACATGACCGTCCAAATTCGCATCTGGTTCTTGCGGTCTACGTGGACCAGGTGAGACGGGTCCTGACAAGAACACAGCCGAGGAGTCGCATCAAAGAAGTTCTTGATCCGTGAACACTAGGTGTTTCTGATATTTGAGGGTGTACATTTTCATGTTTCTACATTACTTTAAAGTCCCATAGTCATCATACACTGGTGAAATTCATCTCTGCATGTGAACCATCCTCGTGGGGAGCGGTGAGCTGCAGCAGTGGCTGCACTCAGGAACTATTTGGTGGCTTAACCCTCCAGTCCAACCTCTTAATGCTGAGTGTCGAGCAGGGAGGCATTGGGTCCCATTGTTAAGGTCTTTGGTATGACCCGACCAGGTTTTGAATCCGATCTCCCAGTCCCAGGGCGGACACTCTACCACTAGGCCACTGAGAAGGTTATTTATTAAGAAGACAATTTTCATTTCTATAGCGCCTATTAAGGAGGTTAGAGTTTTGAGAAGATTGAATAGATTTAGTCTTAACGTTTCCATCGTTTTTAGTTTTAAAGGAGTGAAACACTCATTTAATCAATACATTTGCAGTGGTCTCTATTAAGGAATTAATGTCTTGTAAGTCATACTCTTGGGGGAAAAGTTCAGATGTGCCTGTTTAGGAACTCGGAGAATATCACATCAGAGGATAACTTAACAGGATCGGATTTAGAGTCCTAATTCCTGATATTTGGACATCTCACCTCTGATTGGCTAAATGCAACACAACTCTACCACTGACTCAGTTTGCTTTGCATCACTGATGTTTTATCTCCACAAATAACTCAAACCTGAAGGAGTCTTTACGTTATTGAGAGGAAAAGAAATCCACTTGACCATTTCCAGTCTGCTTTCAGGCCTAATCATAGCACAGAATCAGCACACATTCATGTCATATCATTGGTAGCGACCGATACTAGGTCCCATGTTCTTTAATATGTCCCATATTACTTCTCAAAGAGAAGAATATTTTTTCTTGTTTTTATGGCCATCATGGCAGAGCCTGGAAGTAAAAGTAAGAGAGTAATGTCTTTGTAGGTGAAGCAAAGAGCTAAAACCAGAGTGAACATCAGCGTGGCCTACACTAGTTTGAGGGAGCTGAAGGAGGCTATGAAATCACTGACTGATGGTGACCTGGCTTTGTTGCTACAAAAGGTGTAGCAAGGTACTGTATTGACCATGGCTGTGTGGATTTGGAATTTGCCTGCATTTGATTCAAACGAACAGACGTGGGAAGAACACTGCAAGATTCTTGATCAGTTTTTCGTTGCCAACAGAATTGATGACTGGGGATAAACAGAGAGCTATCCTTATCGGTCTTTGTCAGACGTGTGACCTGCCTTTCAACCACACCCCCCTGGCACCATTTTGGGTGTATGACTCGCATTCGTACGGTAAGCCACAGCTGAAGTTGACGCAGCACAAGAGTCAAAAGGATGGATAAAAGAACAAGGACGAATGCCTCCCTTACAGGGGTAAACTTGTGAAGGAGGCTAGAAAAAACCCAGTCAAGATTGTTTCCCCATCATTTTTATTTCTAAATAAAAATCCTTAGTTTAATTTTAGTTCATTTTTCATTAATTTTTAGTCTAAACAAGCTGACCAGCATGTCCAGCAACATAATAATGTTAAAATAAACAATTTTACTTAGTGGGAAGATTTCACCCGCCGTGGCCCGAATGCACTCCTTCCTGTTGCTCCGCGTAAACCTGAGCAGGCCACCTGCTTGTGCGTAATCAAATGTCACTATTAGGGGCTTACTGAAGAGGATATGAGGGTCTGGACTTCTGCCACAGGTAGACTCATGAATGTTTTAATGTTCTTGAGGCTAAATCCCAACACTGTCTCTCCTAAATCTGCACTGCTCTGCCACACTGGAGGCTGGAACAAGCGCTATTCAGCCAACGTTTCACACACGGAACATTTCTCCATGTGACAAGGCTCATCGACAGCCAGACAGGATTTCCAGACCTGGAAGGCACTTGCTTCAGTGGGAGGAAGCCTTTCTGCATGGTTCTGCTGCTGGCCTGTGACCCCACACACACACACCCTGAGCTGCTCTCCAAAGCTCCTCAGCATGCTGTCCACTAATGCGTGCGCGCTGACGGCGAGCTGTGCTGAGAATCACGTCCAAGACTGAGATAATGCTCAGATGTTCTGATGGGAATCTTTTTTTGATTGGATTTGTTACCTCCGTGGTGTTCTCTGTGCATAACGTTTAAAACATCTGTGCACCTGCATGCGTTGAGGTAATTCCAGTCGGTCAAAATGACCAACAGCCTTAAGATTTTCCCGTCAAATAAGGAAACTATCAGGTTAAGCATTGTGGGATCAGCTACCTACAAGCTAATGAAAGGTTTGTGTTGCCCAGCAGCAAAACATACATTCAGTAAACAAAAGTGATGAATGAGCACTTTGATCCTAAGAGGAATGAGATCGTTCAGAGGTATAAGTTCGACCTTCGTATTGGTCAGCTGAATGAATCCATAAACGAATATGTAGCAGAGTTAAGAAGGCTCGCTCATGATTGTAACTTTGGCGCCACACTGGAGCAGATGTTAAGAAATCGCCTGGTGAACGGCATTAATGCTGACCGAATTAAGAGATGCCTGCTGTCTGTCTCACATCACACAAAGTATGTGAAACACAGAATGGGGAAAATAGTTCAGATCAAGAAGTCACACTAGCACGTTTGAAAACAGAAACTTCCATTCAGAGTCAAACCTTTTGAAGTAACGGTAGGAGTGAACAGAAAGGAAGTGAGGTCTGAAGTTGACACAGGGTGCAGTGTGAGCATTATGAATGAAAACCATCTCAGGGAGACTTGGAATGAATACACTAGGCTGCAGATTACGGAAAGCAAACGGACTCTCAGGTCATACGGTGGAGAGAAGACAACAGCGGTGGGAGTAGCACAAGTGTGTTATGTTAGCCAGGAAAAAACACTGGCCCTCGCGGTAGTGAAAGGAACTGGACCAAACATGTTAGGCAGAGGGTGGATGAAAGAAATTAAAGCTGAATTGGGATGAGATTAAGCGTGTGACAACAGAGACACAGGGGTAACAAGAAGTTCTCTTAAGACAGTAGGACGTTTTTAAAGAAGAATAAGGCTTATCCTCATTTCTACAGGCCAAGCTCAGTCCCCTATGCCACGAGGGTTAAGGCTGAAGAGGAGACTGAAAGGCTCCTGAAGCAGGACACCATAACTCCAGTGAAATATAGAAAACAGTGAGGTTAGTGCACGTCATAGCCATTAATGCTACGGTTCTAATTACTGACACAATCAATTTCGACTTCTGTTTCCAGCCTTGGTGTCCTCATTTTTTATTTTGGGTTTGGGTCGATAATTTTCATGTTGGTGCATCCGTAGCTGGGAAATTAATATTTGTCATGGCATTACCACCTCCTGCCATCAGGCGGCAGCACTGACTCTTGCTGTAGCCAACCCTGGAGCTGGACCAGTTAGGAAGCCTCATCATCTGCTAGAGTAAAAGTTCCAACCTGCACCGAGTAGATTATCTTTGATGGTAAATACATCACAGCCTTACCTGTACATTATTAATAGTATAAAGATACTTTTAAATACAAAGCATAACAGCAGCAGTTGTAATCACACCTGTAACGTTTTAGTGATATGGCACTGAGAACCCATCGTCACCTCACAGTACGGGTTACTTTTTCCTGGAGACAGAGAAAACAACATGTTTTATTGATGTTAATGAGCTGAACATAATCAAAAGAAGAAAGTTGAAAAAAAAAAACCTGTTACATTTAAGCTAAGGGATACACAGTAAATCAGCACTAACACTGGTATCGGCCGATGTTAGTCGTTTATTAACACATTGGTTTCGGTTTGATAAGCAGTGTTGGGAAAGTTCCTTTAAAAAAGTAATTAGTTATAGTTACTAATTACTTTGTCAAAAAAGTAACTCAGTTACTAACTGAGTTACGAGATTATAAAAGTAACTAATTACCAAGAAAAATAACTACTTAGTTACTTTTTTATTAAAGAATGCAAGAAAAATGGGTTAATTTAACTTACTTAATTTACTATAAATGACTACAATAGTGAAATATAAATGACTAATGACGGAAACATAATAAAATGTAAGTCCAAATATTTTTTATAAACCTGAATAATTTAAATAAATAAGCACTTAACAGGAGGAACTACTAACAGGAGCATTATACTTATCTAGACTATTAAAAGGTCACTGTGTGATATTTAACAAGACCCCAATCAGCTAAAATTTAAAATTGCAAATAGAAACACCTGTAAGGGTTCCTGAGCCTTTAAATGGTCTCTCAGTCTAGTTAAATGTAATTATACACAGTAATATAATTTTTCCAGCTTCACATAATTGTGTGTTCTTAGTAGCATTTCTGTTGTTGGTAATCTAGTAACGGTTAAATAAATAAATAAAATCCTTTAAAATGACACTAGAAGAGGCACAAGCCTGATGGAGGACTTACATTTACTAACTTGGGTCAGACCCAACCACAGAAGAGCTGAAGCTGGGTGGTAAACACACACAGGTAGTTCTAATAACACCTGAGCTCCATGACGTCTGAGACTGATGCATCAGTGTTACAGCGGGACTAAAGACATGATCAGAAACAGGTTACAGCTGGATGATCCAGGAAGGTAGAAGATCAGGACATCTGAGCGGTGAACAGGTGAGCGGACCTTCGGAATGCCCCGCTGTCACGCTAAGAAGGGCACGGCTGCAGATCCACACCTGCAGCCGTAGACTATCCATCACGTCTTCCTCGTTCTTCACGGGCCGTGATGCGCTTGGATGAAAACATCTACCTCTGTAGCTCCTGATCAGCTGATGACAGCTTCAACACACCACGCTGCTTAACTCACGCATTTTCTGATCAGTAACAGAAACGACGTTTTGATAAAAGAAGACGGTAATTAATTAGTTTGCTCGTTACTGAAAGAACATTTTTTTTAGCAATGCGGTTATTTTAAATGGCGTTATTCCCATCACTGTTGATAAGTAAAACTGGGCTTATTGAAATAAACGACCCATGTTTATTTCCATCTTGTTGCTGCTTGTGGATCCCTTTTGGTTTTTTTTTTTTGGGGGGGGGGTTATGTGGTATCTGACTGGAAATGACAGAGACAGTGATGCAGCACAGGAGTGGTGTGTTCAACCAAAGCAGAAGAGCAATGTAAGTGTTGTGGTCACTTTTACACAGCCTGGAAAGTGTGGGAAAATATAGAAAACATCAGTAAATATCAGTTAGCTGCCATAACTGCAGCATTAGTGTCTGTCCAAGTATTTGCGTTGGTGCATCCTTGCTAATGATTAGTTTCAATAGAAGTAGAGTTTACGTACCGTGAGAGCGGCAGGGTTTGAGCTCGATCCCCTCTACGATGTTGACCATCAGTCGACCGATACCCGTCGCCCTCTGAGAACGCACTGGGACAGAGAAAAGCAGACAAGTCAGCTTTCACTCTAGAGATGATGAAAATAGTCTGTTGATGTGAAGGACAACTACCTAAATACGCCTTCTCCCTCTTCTTCTTCTCCGTCTCAATGAAGAGCTCTGAAGCTGCCTTGATCTTCTGAACCCACGCCGTCCTGCACAAACACACCGACTCTCACATTTATAAAAAACTTTCATCAGCTGTTTTCATGAACAAAACGACTTAAGTTGGTTTTTAAGGATCAGAATCAGTCTGCTTACACAAAGTCTCCAAGAGTGTGTTTTTTCTGATTCAGAGACTCCAGGCGGGTTTGGACCAGCCGCGTTTATCTTTACCTTTCATTGATGCTTTCGGCTCTGAGGGTGTAAACCCGGTCTATGTGAGAGATGTGGAACAGAGGCTCGTCTCCTGAAGGGTCCGTTGGCAGTTTCACTAACACTTCATTCAGGAAGATTGGCTGAAAAAAAGCAAGAAGTATCAGGTAAAAAGGACCTTCTCTCACAGTAGATTCATTTAGTGATCAATTTCATAACAAACATAATGATTCACTGTGTTGTTTCAGGCTTCAAAAAGTCAAAGAAAAGATATAAAATAGACTTGATTGTAAAATATTAAAGTTAAAACAAAGATCAGTTATAGCTGGAGTCAAATTTAAAATGAATCACAGAATAATGAAGAAAAAAGACAAAACTTTGTTTTCTAATGCAAAAAAAGGTGAGTGCAGGAGGGTGTTTGTGAACCATCTCACCGTTTTGTACATGCGATACTGCAGGTGTGTTTTTGAGGAGAAGACTTTGTCTGATCCTGATGACCCCAGAGGTTTGGTGACCTGAAAGAAGACGGTTTCATCTTCAAAACAAGTGTTAATCCAGTATTTGATGAGGCAGGATTAGAAACAAGACAACCAAATGCTCTGTTGTTCAGGTGCAGACGTCACCAAGTGGGCTGGTGTTTGAAGGGAGAACACATTTTGACACAACACCAGTAGCTCCAGGCAAGGTTTCTCTGTACAGCAATCAGAACAGTCTCCTAAAGTGGATCCAGCACTTCTCAGGGAGTGGACTCAGTCACAGTTTAGCTCACAGAACACAGCCATGAACAAAAATGGTACCAAAACATCATCCCAGAGGAACTCCTCCAACCAACAGAGCATGGTTTGGTGATGAATAAAGTCTTCTCTAGCATGATGGAGCACTGGGCCAGAAGGAACAAGTTCTGGATCCAGGTTCAGTAAACTCCCCAGACCTTAATCCCATTGAGAATGTGTGGGGTCAATCCTCAAGAAGCAGGCAACAAACTAAACATCAGTTAGGATTTGGACCAGAGGACAACATGACAGGGTGAACTGCAAAGCTGTTACAGCAAATTAGGACCCTTTACATCACGCAACTCAATAAAAGCTTTTGAAACAAACTAATCTTGTAATTATACTTCAGTAACCTTAGAAATAACTGACAAAATGCACTTTTTGAAACCCAACATTTCACTGCAGCTGTTAAGGCAGGAATCCGGAGTTTCCTGCCTGGTTCCCTAGCAATCCACTTTTCTGCCTCTTGATGGTTTCTTCTGACAAAAAACATTGGGTTTCTGCTTTAAAAGGACATCCTTTTTTCTCCAATTTCTGAAAATGCCATTGAACAGAGGATGTGTTTAAATGGAAGGCCAGCTAACGGCACTCAGACTCACCTGTGTCAGTAGCAGGAAGTCGTTGAACAGGAAGCCATAAAGCTCCTTGCTGCTTTTTGCTTTGAACAGTTTCCCACTGTGGAGGAACTTCCTGGGTCCCAGACAGTTGGTGACCGAGTTAAACACCAGTTGCTAAAAGACGTGGAGAAAATTTATCTTATTATTTTTATTCAATTAATGAAAAAGTCAAACCACTGAGCTAGCAAGTAAACAATTTTACCTCTGAGAGTCCCTCACACTGCACATGAGCCTGAATCCACTCCAGACGATCAGAGTTCTCCTTTTCTCTGACGCCTTCATTCACCTAAAAATGCAGAAGCATACGCTTAACAAACACATCAGACAGGGTTTCAAACATGGAACATCCATCCCTCCGTCATAGCAGAGCACGAAAAGGTCCAGATGTGATCAAATCAGGAGGTAACCCAGCCTAAATGTACAGTTCCAGAGGTCTACCTGTGAGCAGAGCTCCTCAGCTTTCTCCAGAGCAGCTTTCAGGTGGCTGTGATCTGGGTGAGACTCTGGAGTGTTTTCCAAGATCTGTGAAAGCACAAAGAGCCGTCAGACACCTTGGCTGCTCAGACTGACTAGAGGTGTGTGTGTGTGTGGTTCATACGTTTTTGATGATGAGAGGGTAGCGTGTGACTCTTTGCATGGGTTTGAGGAGGAAACTAGACAGAGGCATCCCCTTGCACCTGGGATCCATGGCCAACCTCTGGTGTAAACACGAAGCATCAGAAACAAATTGCTCAGGGAGGATATGACCACTGCTCTCGAGGCAGGTTACCTTCAGGAAGTCTTTGATCTCAGGGTTGTCGTCGGTTTTCTGCTGGATCAGCGTGGCTCCGTTCAGCTGACACGAACAGAATCTGAACCCAAAAAAAATGTGATCACTCTCACAAATTATCATTCAGGTTTTTACAAGTAATGTAGTGACAGCAGAGGACGGACAGAACCTGATGTATGGCTGCATGTGGGGAAGCTGGTTGGTCAGGATGTCACCTATCATCTTCACAGGCATCCGATCACCGGACATCTTCTTCCTCACCCGAAGAGCCCTGCAGGGAAACGATGAACAGAGGTCGGAAGCAGCACGATGGTGCAGGAAGGTTCCTGTCCGAACGCTAGGGAACTTCAGGGCTGAACCATTTTAAAACATAATTAGATTTTTTGCTTTTTTTTCAGCAGTAGCTCAGGAGGTTGAGAGGGTTGTCCAGTAATCGCAAGGTTGCAGGTTTGATCTTGGCTCCTACCAGAGAATTCTGCTGTTGTGTCCTTGGGCAAGACACATAACCCACCTTGCCTGCTGGTGGTGGTCGGAGGGACCGGTGGCGCCTGTGCTCGGCAGCCTCGCCTCTGTCAGTGCGCCCCAGGGCAGCTGTAGCTACATCGTAGCTCATCCCCACCAGTGTGTGAATGTGTGTGTGAATGGGTGAATGACTGATTGTGTTGTAAAGTGCCTTCAGGGGTTGTAGAACCCTAAGAAGGCGCTATACAAATACAGGCCATTTACCACTTTTTCTCTGCCAGAAATTCCGATTTTAGTTTCTTTGAGTTTCTTCAAACCAAGCTTCAGCACAACGTTCACAAGCATAACAGAAAATGACACCATAGCATCAAATGCTGTTACTCTAATAATGAAAGGATCAAAACTAAAGCAACATGCATGGAGAGTTTCCTTCTACATTGTTTGATGAAGGTGGGCCACCTGGATGTATCTCCACAGGCTATTGGACAAAGCTGGGACCAATCAGAGCAACCAAACCATTTGAACCAGAACCTCTTGCCACACGGACGATTTCTTCTCCTCTGCAGTTAGACTCATGGATGACAATTGCAGGACTGCCCACTCTATAGTCGCTTTGTCTCAGTCACATGACCTGTGTTGTGTCTGCACCTGAACTGATCCGCCCAGATAAGTACCTACACTGTCTTGTATATAGTCTCTGTCACAGCTCTGGTGCTAAACCATCTCACTACAAATGTAGAGTGCTGTGATTGGCCAGACCTAAAATTGTTCGGGCCAATGGTAGACCTGCAGAGGCTGCAACGGAGCGTGGCTAGACTGACCTGCAGAGCTACTGCTGCTGCTGGTCTGGATCTCTATGTTAGGTAATCCTGGTAAGTAGAAACAAAAGGGACGGGCTTTTCTTTTTAAGACACTTTGCTCCTCATCCAACATGATTCTCTGTTTACACAGAGAACTACAAAGCTTCAAGACTCTGAAGACCGCTTGCGTCTTCAAGAGAAGGGCCACCCTTTTGAAGACAGTAATGCTCATGTTGTGATGAGAAACACGAATAAAACAAAACATCAAACAGCGGAGGAGGTGTCAGGCTTTCCAAGCGCCAGTGCTCATTGTGCAGCTTTGAATCAGATTCTGGATATTTTTACCTAAACTGAGGACCCCTTCAGGAATGTGACCTTTATGCAAATCAGGCCAACAAAGACCCATCAGGGAGATTCAGGAGGAGTAATGTTTTCATGGCTGTGGAACACTGGACCAGCCTCCGAGCCACCTCAACTGGCCCAGGACCCGCCGATGGTCCTCCTGGGCCATAGGCGGGTCCTGGAGGATGTGTGGGAGCTCGTCCTACCAAACCACAAACGTGTTTTGTGGATTTGGAGAAGGCATTCGACCGCATCCCTTTGGGGCTCTGTGCAGGGGACTCTGGGAGTATGGGGCACCAGGATCTCTGATATGGGCTGTTGGGTCCCTGTATGACTGGTGCCAGAACTTGATCCGCATTGCCGCAAGGAAGTCGGGCTCGTTCCAAGTGAGACTTGGACTCTGACAAGGCTGCCCTTTGTCACAGATTCTGTTTTTGGACAGGATTTCTAGGTGCAGCCAAGGTGTTGAGGGGATCTGTTTTAGTGGCCTGAGGATCACGGGTCTGCTTTTAGCAGATGGTGTGGTCCTGTTGGCTTCATTGAACGTGATCTCTAGCTTTCGCTGGAGCGGTTTGCAGCCGGGATGAGAATCAGCTCCTCTAAATCTGAGACCATGGTCTTGATTCGGAAAAGGGTAGAATGCCTTCTCCAGGTCACGGAGGAAGTCCTGCCTCAAGTAGTAAGTAAGTAAATTTTATTTAGATAGCAATTATCACAGACATAGAATCACAAAGTGCTTCAAACAGATCAAAACAAAATAAAACAAAGTCGTAAAATCATAATTAGATTAACATCAGAAAAAATTATGTCATACATTTATAAATTTTCATAAACAGATGAAAGATTAAAAATTTGAGTTAAAAATAAGAAAACTAAAGATTTAGGTAAAAGCAGCTTTAAATAAAAGGGTCTTAAGCTGTTTTTTAAAAGTGTTCAGACTGTCAATGCTGCTAAGGATAAAGGAAGATCATTCCAGAGTCGGGGTGCAACAGTCTGGAAGGAGCGATCACCTCGACTTTTGTATCTGCTCTTTGGAACTTCTAGAAGGTTCTGGTGTGTGGACCTGAGGGCTCAGGTTGGAGTATAAGGCTTTAACAGTTCAGTAATATAGGGAGGAGTTTGACCATGTAGAACATTGAAAATTATAGTCAGAATTCTAAAATGAATTCTAAAGTTAACGGGTAACCAGTGCAGAGACATCAGAATAGGAGTGATGTGTGCTCTTCTGTTTGCTCCAGTAAGAAGCCTCGCTGCAGAGTTCTGGACCAACTGAAGGCAGTCAAGCGCTTTTTTGTTAAAACATGTGAAAAGTGTGTTACAGTAATCTAGACGGGAGGAGATAAATGCATGGATAACCATTTCAAGTTCATGTTTTGACACCAACCTTCCCAGTTTGGAGATCTTTAAAAACAGTTTCGGACAAACGTTTTTGAGTGACCTTCAAGAGACATTGATTGGTCAAAAATAACACCCAAATTCCTTAAGCTTGTCTTGACAGCAGAGAATAAAGAACCAAGTTTTAGACTAATCAGGGGAACCATGCTATCAGGGGCAAAGATCAGACATTCAGTCTTTTCAGAGTTTAACTGAAGGAAGTTTTCTTCTAGCCAGCTGGTGATAGCTGATAGACACTCTAGTAATTCAGAGTTTGTAGAACTCAGAATCCTTAAAGGAGCAGTACAGCTGAATATCATCTGCATATAGGTGATAAGAGACATTATGAAAATAATCAATTATCTGTCCAAGAGGGTGTATGTACAGCAGAAACAACAGTGGACCCAATACAGAGCCTTGAGGTACCCCACAGAACAGATTAGTAGAATCTGACATGTTTTGGTTTATACAGACACTGTAACTTCTGTTAGAAAGGTACGATCTAAAACAGTCTAGAACAGTTCTAGAGATCCCAACTGAGTCAGCAAGTCTGTTAATTAAGGTGTTGTGATAAACAGTGTCAAAAGCTGCAGAAAGATCTAACAACACTGTGAATTCCCCGTTGTCTGCAGCCATCATGATGTCACTGGAAACTTTAAGCAAAGCTGTTTCTGTTGAATGCTTTTTACAAAAACCAGACTGGAATTGATCAAAACTGTTGTGTAATTCCAGAAAAGTAATCAGTTGATCTGCCACAACCTTTTCCAATATTTTAGAGATAAAGGGTCATTTAGAAATGGGTCTGTAACTTTTAGGCTGAGATGAGTCCAAACTTGGCTTTTTAAGGATAGGTTCAATAACTGCATGTTCGAAAACAGATGGTACAGTGGAGGAGTTTAAGTATCTCTGGGTCTTGTTCACAAGTGAGGGAAAGATGGAGAGCAACAATCATATGTGGATTGGTGCTACATCTGCAGTGATGCGGGCGTTGTACCAATCTGTAGTGATGAAGAAAGAGCTTCAGGATTTACCGGTTGATCTACATTCCTACCCTCACCTATGGTCACAAGCTTTGGGTAGTGACCAAAAGAATGAGATCGCAGATACATGCGGCTGAAATGAGTTTTCTCTGCAGGGTGGCTGGGCTCTCCCTTAGAGATAGGGTGAGAAGCTCGGTCATTCGGGAGGGGCTCGGAGTAGACCTGCTGCTCGAGAGAAGCCAGTTGAGGTGGCTTGGGCATCTGATTAGGGTGTGCCTCCTGGATGCCTCCCTTGTGAGGTTTTCCAGGCACGTCTAACTGGGAGAAGACCTAAAGGAAGACCCAGGACACGTTGGAGGAACTATTGTTTCACGGGTGGCCAGAGAACACCATAGGATTCCCCCGGAAACGCTGGCTCGAGTGGCTGGGAAGAGGGAAATCTGGGCCTTTTGACTTAAGGCTACTGCCTCCACGACCTGACACCGGATAAGTGGAAGAGAATGAACGGATGCATAAATAAAAAAACACACATTCATCAAACATACCAATAGATCAGACAAGATATTAATCTAGTAAATTTATATATGTGTAAATTTATAAATAAAATCAGGTGTTAGGGTTTTTTACTTTAGCAGTTTGATGTTGCACATAATGAGCTCCTTCCAGTTGACAAAGATCATGGCCACCTCCTTCTCTGTGAGCAGCTCACACTCCAGCAGAGGCTTGTGAAAGATCTACACACACACACACACACACACACACACACACACACACACACACACACACACACACACACACACACACACACACACACACACACACACACACACACACACACACAATGAGTGGTACAGCCTGGAATTTCCTCTAAAAGTCTTGAATATTTGGATAAAACCGTTTTAGAACATAAACATGTTTTTTATGCTTTAGGTAAAATCCTACATTTCAAAACTGGAATATGCATTTATAATATTTTAGATTCGGTTTTACTACACAATTTAAGCTAGAATCATGGTAAATCCTTTGTTTACACATATTGTATCGTTCCATATTTTAAGAGAAAACTTTATTTCTAAATACACAGCCTTGGACAAGCAGTGTATACAAACTATAATTTATTAGAAATGGTTAATCTTTTAAAAATTGACTTAAATTGCTTGAATAAGTTACATTTTATTAAATTGTTAGATTTTTATATCCTATACTTCAAAAAGAATGTAAACATCTAAAATAAAGATAGAAAAAACAACAATAAACTAAATTAAAGTTATAATTTTAATTAAAAGTTTTACAAACTTTTTTCCCCATAATTTAAAATTAAAAATCAAAACGAGAAAAAAACCATTAAACACGTTTTGATTAAAAACATAAAATTGTATAAATAATTTTGCTTTGCAGCTTTTTTCTAGATTATAAATCTGGACATAATCACAATGCTGCCACCTTTTGGTTGGTCCAACAAATTACATTACATTTATTATTATTTTTGCAGTTATGTCAAATAGAGACATCTGGGGTATTTCCATGGCAACAATAAAACCCAGTGTCGTTCACCTCGGTGACGAGCTGCAGGTCGTTGACATAGTTCTCCTCTGTGACAATCAGCTCGTGGATGTAGCCCTGCCTCTTCCTCTCCATCGGACTCAGCATGTCCAGCAGGTGGAGGTCGGCACACCCTGGAGTAGAAATACAAGAGAAACAAACAAATGACGCAGATGCCATGCAGCAGAACAGACCTAAGACACCAGTTTAGGAGCTACTTACCTGAGATCAACACACAGGAGGAAACACAAACCAACGGAGACAAAAGGTCTGTTATTTTAGCGGTTGAGCAGAAACTATTTCTGTCCCTGTGTTCTCATCAGAAAGCAGATTACAAAGGTAAATCTCTAGTTTATCTGGAATCAATAAAAACATTATAATCAATTTTTACTCGATATTTTTAACTTCATCCTTTCTAAACATAAGTTGACTTTAGTTTAAAACTCTTGGATAAAAATTGGTGGATGATTTATTTAACCGCGTTTCAGTCAGGAGCATTTAAAAAAAAATCACTTTTAGGTGAGCAAACTTATCATAACACGGTATGATAAATCTGTTTGTGTTATATTATATGTTATTAACGCTCTGAATATGTTATTAACGCTCTGAACTGTAGCTTTAAGACACCTTGTGTTTGACACAACCGCTACAAAAACATGAGATTAACAGCAACTTTGTGCTATAAAGGGTCAACTGTACTCGTATCTGCAGAGGTCTCTAGTAGGAATGAATGCTGGCAGGATTTGTAGTCTTAGAACAGCTCACCTCTGATTGGCTAACAGCAACACAACTCTACCACTGACACTGTTTGCTTTGCATTGTTGATGTTTCATCTCCACAAATAACACAAGCCTGGAGGAGTTCTGCTGTGTGCTGAAGTTGCTAATGCTAACAGTTAGCTTATACAAGTTGAGACGTTCTCTGCTGGACGCTAAACCAACAACATTCGTCCCCGTTGCGAGCCATGATTATTGAGTCTGTGCATGTTAAGTGACAGTGTGTGACGTAGATCTGTCAGTTTCCTCATCTGTTTTCTATCAGAAGCTAATGCAGCAGGTGTAGGAGACTAGTTTCATGTTCAGGCTGCATAAAAAACTGTTACAGATAATTTCCTAAAATAAGAAGTAAAAATAGTTTCTCAGTGAACCTGCTCTTTAAAGTGTTTTTGTGTGACAAGGTGAGTAATCAGGCCAGTCAGCCGCAGTCTGTCTCAGAGTTTAATCATCAGGACCAGTCAGTTTCATCATTTCATCAAAAGCTTAACCCATAACAACAGTTACAACATTTCATCCATTCATCTAAGTCCTTGTACTCTCCTGCATCCATCTGACCCTTTTTGTTCATCCGTTGACTCATTCATGCGTTATTTTTGCTCAATCAATCATCCACTCATTTATTCAAAATTTCCATGACATTTGGCTTCATTTTGATTCATTCATTCATATTCACATAAAACGTTACCCTTTAATTAGATTGGATTAGCTTTTACCCTAACAGACTAAACCAACGGTAAAAACCTAAAAGTTTCTGTGTTGCACCATTTTAGATCCCTTTAACGTTGTCATCTCCACCCAGCTGCTGTGGAGTGTGGCTCTGGTCCAGTTCCTCTGACTGGCTGGAGTCCCCACCAGCTAGCAAACTGGTAAAAACTTTTATTTTTTAAATATTTTTAAAAAAGCTCCCAAAACAAGCCCATTTTGTTAAAACATTAGTAAGTTTGACTCATCAACCAATCAGAGAGCGTTACTTCCAATACTGATGCCCCGAATAGCCAATGGGATTCAAGCATGTCTGTAAGAGTCAGACGATGTTGCTTATTTATAAAAAAAAAAGTCTTTTAGGTCAACAATAAAGTCACAATACTGTCTGAATAAACAAACAAAAACAGAACTATACAGATATGATACGGCAGTCCCTATAATACTAGTCTGTTGCTATGCAAACAAACAAAAAGATGACATTGGGTGCTAACACTTGTTGCCATGGTTACAGGTAAATGACGGCATACGAGCTGAAAGTGAGGCAGTGCTTTCTGTTAGGTTGACACACAGCTGCTGATTCTGTAACATGACACAGAAATAAACGGATTGAAGTTGCAACAAACCCCCAGTTAGAGAGACTGAACTGTAAGGCAGCCTTGTAGGGCCAAAAAACATTAGTCTGTTTCCCACTTTAGTCTTATAAAACAAAATGTTAAGATTCAAATCTTAATGTTGAAACATTAAGATTTAAGATGGCTGCAATGAGGAAAATGACTATAAAAGTGTTTTAATAATAAAGAAAAATAGCAAGAAAAATTACTTATTATGAGATCTGAGCTTCACTGAATTCTGATATTAATACGCTGTTTTCAGTAAGTATTGTGAGGTATTTAGACTTTTATTTTGAAGGATTTAAAGATGAATGAGTTTTATAATTGAGCCTGAGACTGAATCAGGACAACATGTAGTACTAAACCCATCACTAGAACCCTCAGACACAACAATAACAACTGGCTTCACCTTCTAACATTCGCAACACACTTTAGCTTTACTCTGGAAATTTAGAATTTTGTTCTGAAAAATGGGAAACAAACAAGCATCCACGTGACCCTTATAGGCCGCCATAGAACTGAAACATGTTACCAGGGTGAAATGATGGCGCATGGCTGCCAAGGGCTTGTTAATGTGGCTCACTCTGTGGATACGTGTCTGATAACCAGTGACGGGCCGTGACAGAAGCACTCTGACACGCTGAACTGTGTTTGGGGGACATAAACATGAAGAAGAAATGTCTAAACTTTCAGATAATCACAAATTAAAATGGCAGACATAAGAGCAAAAACCTCCCAGAAGGTCAGATGACTTGATTCTGTGGAATGATTCAAAAGTCCGACAGCAGCCATGCGCCAAACCGTTTCACCACAGTAAAGTACCAGACCTGTCAAGCTCTTTATGGTGTGACTGCATTCCATCATAGCAACAGACAACAATAAACATGTAAACAAATAAAAACATTAATACACAGTCAGAAGGTTAGGCTAAAGTGGATTAAAACATTATGAGTGTGTGTGTGTTTTGGTTAGTTTTTATGCTATGCAGCTTCAGGCTGAGTCCCATTCCAGCCACTCACTTCCTTCTATACCTCCTTTCTTAGAGGAGGCGTACAGAGAGGAGTGGTCTGAGACTGAACCTGCAGCTGCTGCGGGACGAGTCTCAGAGCTTCCTCTCTCCTTCGGGAGGGGGGGTTAGAGTCTTTGGCATTGAGCAAGGAGAGAGTTTAACCCTGAGACTTGTCCTCCAGCAGATAGTGGGTCTTTCTGTGAAGCTGTGGGAGGGGAAGTGTTAGTCGGGGAAGGAGCCAGACTGTTTGACTGACGCAACGGGAGCGAGGGTTTAAGGGGTTGGGATGAGCTGAAAGAATGATTCTAATGACAGAATCTCTCATAAAGCCACAACACGACCCACTATCCACTTCACCCTGCATGTACAACTCTGTGTGTGTGTGTGTGTGTGTGTGTGTGTGTGTGTGTGTGTGTGTGTGTGTGTGTGTGTGTGTGTGTGTGTGTGTGTGTGTGTGTGTGTGTGTTTACAGTCACTATGATCTTGAGTCCAATCTTAGAGGGAGGAGTTCATTAGTTCTCCTTCAGCGCTCTCCACTCCTCCCATCATTTCTTAGCTAAACATGTTGAGACAGATGAATCAGGAAGAGGAGGAGGAGGAGGAGGAAGAGGAGGAGGAGGAGGACTACTGATCTCCTCCTGCTGAGCAGTGCTGTTTGGATAAGTCCAGTCAGAGCCATGCATAGACAGAGATTTGGGTGTCATTAACATTACAGTCTGTCTGTATGTCTGTCTGCCTCTGGCTTCTACTGGTGGAGGCTTGCCATTTCCGGGTCATGTGACCTCTTGCTGCTGTCCCATTGGTTGAGTGGCCTAGTGGGCGTGGCCTAGTGGGTCTCTTTGAGGGCTTTGAGGAGAGGGGGGTTCTGGGTAATGATATGATCCTAGAGAGAGGACGACAACAACAACATCAACAAAAAAAACAACTAAACAAAACAACAAGAACAACAACGTCCAGTCAGGTGCTAGGTGGGTGGAGCATGCAGCAGGCGGACAGTGTGGTGTTGTGCTGTGACCAGGTGGGAAAACAAGATCTACAGCAGGCAGGTGAGTTTATGTCGAAGACAGGACGAATCCCTCCTGAGTTCAGGGAAACCTCAGGTGTTCCAGACAGAAAGGTAAAGTCGTTTTCTGAGTCTATCACCATGGTAACAGACACTTTCTGAGTTTCTACTGGTCCTCTCCCAACTTGCTGTTCATTTTTAAACAATCTGATCGATCTAGCAGCAGAATTCCTTTGTTTACATCCAGAGAGGGTATTCTGCCCTTCCTCTAACGAGCTCTTGTTCTGGGATCATTTTCTGCTGGAACAAATTCAGACATCAGTGGAAGCTTTGTGCCCCTTTCTGTTAGTCGAGTACAAATAAACAATAATACTAAAAAAGCAAAAAGAAGGCTGGAGCACTCAAAGTGACAAAAAATTTAATAGGTGCAAGCACGCAAAAAGACTAACATTTCAACGTCAAAACGTTAGTCTTTTTTTGTGCTTGCACCTATTTTTTGTCACTTTGAGTGCTCCAGTCTTCTTTTTGCTTTTTTAGTATTATTGTTCTTTGCTGTCGAGCAGTGTTGGGAGTAACGCCGTTTAAGTATAACGGCGTTTCTAACGGCGTTCTTTTATAGGTAACGGAATAATCTAATTAATTACTTTTCCCGCCGTTGCAACGCCGTTACAACGCCGTTACCGTTACTGGGGACGGAACGTTGTGCGTTACTATGTGCTTGTCGAACGTTGAGCAGCAGTGTGAGGCTTTCTGACCGCCACACTTCAGCTGCAGCCAGGGAGAGAGAGTTGTCGGTAACGCACTTACAAACACCATGATGCTTGACCGGGTGGGCGGAGACCCTCACGGTCTCAGTCGCTGCATTCTGTAGACACAACGGGAATAACTCCGTTTAAAATAACCGCGTTAATAAAAATATTTCTTTCTGTAATGAGCAAACTAATTAATTACGTCTTCTTTTATCAAAACGTCGTTTCTGTTACTGATAAGAAAATGCGTGCGTTAAGCAGCGCGGTGTGTTGAAGCTGTCATCAGCTGATCAGGAGCATCACGGCCCGTGAAGAACGTGGAAGACGTGATGGATAGTCTACGGCTGCAGACCCCCCGCAGATTTGTTGCTGCAGCAGCGAATCTGTGGATCTGCAGCAGTGCCCTTCTTAGCGTGACAGCGGGACGTCCCGAAGGTCCGCTCACCTGTTCACCGCTCAGACGTCCTGATCTTCTGCCTTCCTAGATCATCCAGCTGTAACCTGTTTCTGATCATGTCTTTAGTCCCGCTGTAACACTGATGCATCAGTCTCAGACGGCATGGAGCTCAGGTGTTATTAGAACTACCTGTGTGTGTTTACCACCCAGCTTCAGCTCTTCTGTGGTTGGGTCTGACCCAAGTTAGTACATTTAAGTCCTGGGCTTGTGCCTCTTCTAGTGTCATTTTAAAGGATTTTATTTATTTATTTAACCGATACTAGATTACCAGCAACAGAAATGCTACTAAGAACACACAATTATGTGAAGCTGGAAAAATTAGAATGCTGTACAACATTACATTTATTTCTGTAATATAACTAGACTGAGAGACCATTTAAAGGCTCGGGAACCTTTACAGGTGTTTCTATTTGCAATTTTAAATTTTAGCTGATTGGGGTCTTGTTAAATATCACACAGTGACCTTTTAATAGTCTAGATTAGTGTAATGTTCCTATTAGTAGTTCCTCCTGTTAAGTGCGTATTTGTTTAAATTATTCAGGTTTATATAAAACATTTGGACATACATTTTATTATGTTCCAGTCATTAGTCATTTATATTTCACTATTGTAGTAATTCTTGCATTCTTTAATGAAAAAAGTAACTAAGTAGTTACTTTTGTTGGTAATTAGTTACTTTTATGATCTTGTAACTCAGTTAGTAACTGAGTTACTTTTTTGACAAAGTAATCAGTAACTACAACTAATTACTTTTTTAAAGTAACGTTCCCAACACTGCTGTCGAGCACCAAGTGTTGACTGGATTATGCGCAGAGGATCTTTGAAGTGATTAAACAACAATACTAGGGATGCTCCAGCCAGCCCTTTTGCTGCTGATCATCGATACGATCACATGGGCTGGTCGAGCATCTTTCTATGTAGTTATGAGTTCTATTGGCTACATGATCTGGGGAAAAGGAATAATAACATCCCTTCATTTAAACAAAAACATCCTTTACCTTCTTTTCAAGAGAAAAACAGTAAAAGACTTCTGACCACAACTTCTAAGCCTCCTACTCACAACCCAAGGTTTAGAAGAAGAAGAAGAAAATATCATTTCTATAGCACCTCTCAAGATAAAAATCACGAGGCACTTCACAAAAACAAAAATGAAAAAAAAAAAGTAAAAATATAAAAAAGCATTTAGAAAATGTTTAAAAATATATTTAAAATGAGCAAAAATAAGCAATTGCTATTTAAAAGAAAAAAATGTTAAGAGAGAGAGTGAATAGGAAAGAGGGAAATCAGTGGATCCTGAGGAAGGTGGAATAGGTGGGGAGAGCAGAATAAAGAGAGAGTGGTGAAGAAGGTCATCCAAAAGCCAGCTTGAACAAGTGAGTCTTCAGCTGCTTTTTAAAGGAGTCCACTGATATCAGGCTCAGGGGGAGAGAGGTCCAGAGTCTGGGGGCCACAGCAGCAAATGATCTGTCACCTTTGGTCTTTAGCCTGGTGCTGCACAACCAGTAGGCTTTGATCACTGGACCTCAGGGACCTGCTGGGGGTGTAGGGACTAAGAAGATCACCAATGTATGATGGTGCTTGTCCATGTAAGGCCCTATAGACCAGAACCAGGATCTTGAAATGAATCCTGAAGTTGACTGGCAGCCAGTGAAGCTGGAGGAGAAGCGGGGTGATGTGGGTGTGTTTGGAGGACTTGGTCAGAAGCCGAGCACAGGCATTCTGAACCACCTGTAGATGGTTCAGGGAGGTTCTGCTCAGACACGTGAAAAGAGAGTTACAGTAGTCTAAACATGAGGAGATGAAGGTGTGGATAACTGTCTCAAGTTCAGCGCGGGACAGAATGGGACTCAGCTTAGCAATGTTCCTGAGATGGAAGAAGGAAGAGCGAACAAGAGAACTGACATGAGAAGCCAGGGTGAGAGCTGGGTCAAAGGTCACGCCAATGTTCCTGACAGAAGGTTTGGTGTGAGAAGCAAGCTGACCAAGAGAGTCTCTGACTTTGGGAACCAGCTTGTCTGGGGCACAGATGAGGATCTCAGTCTTATCTTCATTCAGCTGTAGAAAGCTCCCAGCCATCCAGGTTTTGATAGAGTCTAAGCAGGTGTGTAACAGCTGCAGCTTAGACATCTCATGGGGCTTAAAGGAGATGTACAGAACCAAAGGAGCATCCTGGATGAGAGGCAAATGTCTTCCAGATAACCAGGAAAGTCCAGCTGTTGTCAGCTAAACCCTCGAGATCATCATGTCCAGAGCGTCTGAGAATCTGCACCAACATGCTGCAGTTGAAAACCCTTAAAAATGGAGCTGCTTTCAGTTACAAGCTAACAGATTTAAAACATTAAAGCTCTCAACAGGCTAAAGAGCAAAGGCTCAAGTAAGTCTCGGCTTTGATTGTATTGCCAGTAGTGTCTCCTAGTGAGAGATCAGTGGGCGGAGCTTGGTGTTTTTCACCACCGAGAAAGGCTAGCATCATGAATTTAATTCTTTTTCAGGTCATTTGTTCAGCCTCGTGACGGTCATGCTAATACAGACAAGTGTTGGTGAGGAAAAGTGATAGTTCGTTTGGTAGACATGTCATTGTGCCGTGAACCAGAGCAGTGTGAAAGAAAAGCATTGGGAGACACAACGCTGCGCACACACACGGTCTCCGCTGGCTGCAAAATATGAGCTACAGGTAATCAGCACGGGAAGTCAGAACTGGCTGATCACACACACGAGATCAGCCAATAAGGATCAGCAGCTCATGGATCGGAACATCCCATAATATGTTTGAAAATTCGTTCTTAAACAGATTATTATAGTCTAGAATACAGATACTGTAATATGTATGAAATAAATAGAACCATGTAGCATGATCGTGTTAAAACAGGACTCACTTGGATTGACGTGTTCAAACAAACATGGAGGACAATTTAAAGTAAACGCTTCAATTAGGAGGAAAACCAGCAGTGAATTAACTTTTATTGGTCAAGTACATCTAAACTAAATAGATTATTTCAGATTTGGTTGTATTTGTTTATACATTAAAACTGAATATGTGATTTAATATTCAGGCACTTCTTATTGATGTGAGTTCTGACGCAAAAATTTGACAAAACAGCTGCTTAAAGTCACTGACAAACAACTGTTCTTCTGCTCAGACGTCCTTGTGTGTCTACAATAAAATGATGATCGTGTTTTTCTGGCACAGCTGTGTTGTAAGTGTTCTAGTTTTTGGTTTATTGGCTCTCTGACCTGCTGTAGATACTCAATCTGGTGGATCGTGCTGGGGGAAAACATGCAGGGAGAAGAGAGGCTCGTGCACACTGAAGCATGCAAACAAACAAACATGCACTTACACAACATACAAATATACACAGACACCACCCAGAGGTGGTGCATCACAGTGGGGCTATCAAAGAGGCCCAACAGAGTGTGAAGGTGAAAGCAGCCTGGGGTCAAAGTCAGAGAGGGACAGCATCTCCACACCTGGCTCTGGGGTGTGTGTGTGTGTGTGTGTGTGTGTATTTCAGTGTGTACATTGTATGTTAATTTTAGGACGCTCTGTGTGTGTGTCAGTGTGAGACACACTCTGCAGGGAAGGCTGTGTGTGCTTGTACTCACACTGTGTGCTCGGATCAGTGTCTGTGGTCAGCTTGACGTAGTTGCTAGGAAACAGGCCCTCTCTCCCATTCAGCTCTCCTTTCCACCAATCACAGTCATCCTTGTTGAGCACTGTGATCACCTGACCCTTCTGGAAGGCCAGCTCGTCGTCGTTCTGGGCCACGTAGTCGTACATGCCGATCACCTGACACAGACCTTCAGGACAGGAAACAGGGATGATTAAAGCTGGATTGTTTACATTTATTCATGCAGCAGAAGCTTTGATCCAAATGACCTAAATTCATAGTTCTCCTGTGAGAATACACCGGAGTACCGAAGAAAACCCACATGCAAGGGGACAACATGCTAGCTGCAAACCGAAAGGATTCTTTCTTGGTCCTTAATGTAAAGCTGTAACTGTGACTGGCTCTTGCTGCTGCCACTGGGGGCAGGCTCAGAAATCAGAGCTCTTGGTTGTGGCTTTGTAGAAAGCTGCTTTGACAAAGTTTTATGAATAATGAACAGTACAGCTAATGAATCTTTAAGCTGTGCTTCTTGGCTATCACAAACTCCCTTTACCTTCTTTGGGAGACAGAAAATTAAATCTGGTATATACAGTATATACACACACACACACACACACACACACACACACACACACACACACACACACACACCAGATTTATATATATAGACATGCACGTTTCCAGAATGTCTAACTGACTATTGATGCTCTTAATGGTTAATAGTCAGTTAACCGTAAACGGCATGTAGGTGAGGTCTGGCTGAACCGTGAGTGAGAGGGAGTGCCTGTTGTTGATCTGACTGTGAATGCTCATGACATTTCATTTGCTGTCATGCTCAACTGCTACTAAATTACAGGTGAAGGGCGCGAAAAGCAATTAACTGGACAAAGCTGTTATGTTGGGACAGCAGTAGCTCAGGAGGTAGAGCGGGTTGTCCAGTAATCGGGAGGTTGCAGGTTCAATCCCTGCTCTGGCCAGGCTCCATCATGTCCTTGGGCGAGACACTTAACCACCTTGCCTGCTGGTGGTGGTCAAAGGGGTCGGTGGCACCAGTGTTCAGCAGGCCTCGACTCTGTCAGCGCGCTCCAGGACAGCCGTGGCTAAGCGTAGCTCATAATCATCAGTGTGTGACTGATTGTGTTGTAAAGTGCCTTGGGGGGTCGTACAACCCTAAGAAGGTGCTATACAAATACAGGCCATTTATATACACACAGTTATAACTGTTATGACCTCTGTGAAGTTTCAGAGACGTGCCAGCCAGGACAGTCCCACAGCCGACAGATACCTGGAATAGAGCTCATCCAGAGATGACGTTTGACCACTTTAGCAACATCTGCCTCACAGACGGATCTATCCCAGGTCTCCCAGGTTTGGGTTGTTATGGTTAAGGAGCTCCAAAATGTATAACTCTCTCTTCCTTACCACCTTACAGCAGAAGTCTGTATCTTGCTTCCTCCTACCAACACTCATGAACTACACGTCAAGACTCTGCTTGAGGAAAAGACTCCACCGAGCTCCAGGGGACCTATTCCATCTTTTTCCTGAACCATAGCCCCAAATCTAAAACGGCACACAAACATGTGTTCTGGAGTAGTGTGTACCTGTGCTGGCAGGAGCCAGTTTGGGAGGAGTTGGTTCTGTTGGTGTGGTTTTGCTGGTGCTTGGACTCAGAAGCTTCACATAATTGGCTGGAAACCAACCAATCTGGCGCTTTTTCCCTCGAGCCTGGATCAGTGAAGTGACCACATATCAGACACTAATCCACAAACCTCATAAAAACAACAAAAACCTGTTCCATTCAAACCCAGTTTCTTATAGGGAGGTAAATAACCAAGTCAGACTTGACGCATGTGAACATGACTTGAGTACCTGGAGCTCGCCCTCCCACCAGCCCCCGGGGTTCTTTTTCCTGATGAGGATGAGCTGTCCTGGAGCTAGCGTCAGCTGCTCTGCTCCTGTTGCCGTGTAGGCTGCAATCACCTGAGCGATCTCTGAAAAAGAGAAGCGGGTTTGTTTTCCTGCTTTGGAGCTTTAACTACAAAAGTTATTTCCAACAGAATGCAAGGTAGATTCAGAGAAAATGAATTTACATCATTAGAGAAAAGTAAAAGGAACTCTTCAGGCTGTAAGCACTGACCTGGTTTCTTCCCCAGACTGCCGGTCTTCCCTGCTGGTCCCAGTGACTTCAGATAAGGATGTAGAGAGATTACAAACATTTCTTTCAAATGATCTGGAAACTAACTAATCAAAGTGAGCTCTCACTTCTATTGATGAATCGCGTGGCTTAACATAGTTGGACGGAAAGACTCCAGTCTTTCCTCCGACCGTGCCTGTCCACCAGTCTCCTTCCTTCCTGGTCACCATGACGATGTCTCCTTGCTGGAAGCTCAGGTCTCCCTGTTCTGTGCTCTCATAGGTGTACATGGCCACATATTCTGTAGGAAAAGAAAAGTAAAGTGTAAATAATAGATGCGTTATATTTGTGATGTACTGAAATGTTTCCATGAGGTACCTTCTCCGGTGTCGGAGGATTTTGTCGGAGAAGATGAGGGACGTTTTCCATTGGGTGGGCTTTCTGACATTCCAGATTCACTAAGAGATGTGAGACATACGTAAATTCAAACTTTTGTGACTTTCATGGGATAAATATGGCGAGAGCGGAGGTTTCGACCCTACCTTGTGTTTTTATTTCGAGCTACAGTGCTGGGGGGAACGGTCACGTTGGCCGAGATGAGTTTGACGTAACTTTTGGGGAACCAGCCTCGTTGTCCATTCTGAAGTTCTCCCAACCACCACATGTCCTGCTGCTCCAACACTGTTATTATCTGCATCAACATTAACATCCACGCCATCAGGCAAATGTACAGTTTCCAGTTATCGTGTGGCAGTGATGAGGGTTCTACCTCGTTTTTGTTGAAGTTAAGATGGTTGTCCTTCTTTGCTCTCCAGGGGTACAAAGCCTGAGCCTGGAGCCCTTCCACCTTCTCTCCCTGACAGACAGATATCGCAGCTCATGGTCATCTGTGACTCGTGTGATCAATGACTTTATCAATATCTGAGACAATGTTTCCACTACCTGTCCTAGTACAGGAGAGGGGGAGGAGCCTGTTGTCATAGTTGCAGGTGTGAAGGCGGAGCGTTGTCGTAGCTGTGCAGATGGAACACTGAGAGATGGATTCTGATTGGCTGAAGAAGTTGGCCAAGCGTCCCACCCTTCACTGTCTGATTGGCTTGTTGTGTTTGAGGGCCATCTGGAAACATTTACACAGAAAAATCTTCATTCTCATCCAAAAAGTTTTTAAGTCAGATCATGTTGTCGTGTGGGGGAATTACGTGGTGCTGAAGTCTGCCCAGTTACTGTTGCCAGATGATGTGGATGAGGAGGTGTGTCCAGGAGCCGGAGGGGGCGTGGTCATGGGCTGCTGGGCTGAAGTGGGTGTGGTTGAGGAAGTGGAGCGGAGGCTGATTGGGGCTTCGCTGTCGGGTATACGCTCTGCATAATTAGCTGGAAACCAACCGGTCCTGCCTCTGAGCTCACCCCCGAGCCACCCAGGCTCACCCGTTTGTGACTCATCCACCTATCAGAGCAAAGGGTGTGATTTAATTAGGCCAGAAACACTAGATGTGCTTCATCAAGCTTTAGGCCAGGTAGCAGGGCTGAACTAGCCAGTGCCAGTGGGTGATAGTTTTACTGCAGCACAGTAAACATTCATCCTGATCAAGTTAAAACTAGAACGTTATCTGGACAATCCCAATAATGAGCTCAACACAAGAGACTAGGGGTGTGTATTTGCAAGAATCTGGTGAAACAACATACATCACAATAGTGGAGATGATATGATGTACTGTGACACTAAAACCCACATAATTGTAATTTTAGGACCGAATTTAATTGGAAAACTAGAGCAAGACACGTCCACGCCACACCTAGTGTTCCAGCAACAGCGCATTGTTCCATCAGAATGAAGGCAGTGAACTGCTGCCACCTAGCAGTCAGAGTCTGAATTGCACTACACAAAAGAAATAAAGGAAATGTTTGCAAATAAATTCTCAATCAAAAAGAAAAATCAATACAACCCTTTCAAAAATCTATCATGAAATATTGTATATTTCAGTGTACCGATATTTTCTCACAATGCTATTAGAAACATGAGTTGTGAAATAAACAAACAGCTTTCAGAGTTTAACTCCAGGAGGCAGGTTCACTAAATCCACAAGCATGGAGAGAAAGGTCCTTCACATCTATTTATCTCTCTCAAAATGTCAGAAATTAAATCAGCAGACGTGCGCCCACAACTGGCTCACTTCTGGAGTCAGCTCAATTCAAGATGGCCAAGACCCTTCATCTGAATCCATTTTAAAGACACTGGGCTAAAATTTAGTCTGTTGCTACATGAGTGCCTTTCACCTCACATCCAAAGGGTCATCTGGTTTTGCAATAATCTCATGAGATTTTTCATTTCTCAACAAAAGATGTCATTCTTAAATTTTTCCATTGAAGACAACAAACAATACCAGCTTTACATTTATTTTCCTGTTTAATTATAACTTATTCTACTAAATTTATTAATTTAATCATTGTTACCAAGAAGGTGTTTAATATAAAAGACACTCATTATATGTAGGTAAATATGTGCTGGTCAAACTGAAGGATTTTTATTTCAAATGTACCACAGGGGTATTCAATTCCAGGCCTCGAGGGCCGCTAACCAGCATGTTTTAGTGGTTTCTCTGCTCTAACACACTAGATTCAGTGATTGAATCACCTGTGCAGCAGCTCATCCGGCTCTGCAGAAGCCTGTTAATCACCTACTGATTGAAATCAGGTGTGTTGAAGCAGGGTTTAAGCTAAAACGTGCTGGACACCGGTCCTCCAGGGCCAGAATAAAACACCCCTGCTGTAGCGGGTTACGGGATAAGTGGAGCAACACACTGACATCCAGTCAGCAGTGTTTAGCATCAGTGTGGAGGCTGAGAATCTACACAACTTTTATTTCCCCATATTTTAGTTTTGTGTCACAATTCACGGCTTCAGGAAGAGTGAGAGCTGCTCTTTGGTGTTGCTTTAATGGTAAAGATGGGGGGTTCATTCATAAAGATAGCTGAAACAAAATGATTAGGTCAACATAAACACGTGACGGCATTCCCACTTTAGTAAGGGGCATTCATCCGCTAGAGGACAGATGAACATGAGCAGGTCATGAGATGAATGCACTGGCTTGTGATTGGTGGAAACACAAAACGGCACTGGGCGGGGGCAAGAACTTACCCACTCCCCCTTCACCTTCAGTTTGCAGAGCAGAGGAGAGAAATAAAACATTAAAGCAGACGGTCATTCACACACAAACACACTTCAGGAGGCTTTAACACAAATGCAGAGATAAATCCAACATGAACAGGACACGTGTGGCATGAGTGCAGGTTACACACCATGATGACATCTCCAGGCTGGATACTGATCTCATCGTGGCTGCGAGCATCAAATGGATACAGAGCCCTGTAGTAGACCACCTTCACTGGCTGCTGCTGCTGCTGGTCGAAGCCGCTGCTCGATGCTTTCTGCTCAAACACACTGGAGCCTGGAGCTTTCTCCGCTGCAATTAGACAAAAACAAAAAGACGCATTTATCTTAAGTTCTGTGGCTGAGAATTATTTATTTATCTCGTTTCCTTATCTATCTACAGTGGTGTGAAAAACTATTTGTCCCCTTCCTGTTTTCTTATTCTTTTGCATGTTTGTCACACAAAATGTTTGTGATCATCAAACACATTTAACCGTTAGTCAAAGATAACACAAGTAAACACAAAATGCAGTTTTGAAATGATGGTTTTTATTATTTAGGGAGAGAACAAAATCCAAACCTACATTGCCCTGTGTGAAAAAGTAATTGTCCCCCTTTTTAAAAAATAACCCAACTGTGGTGTTTCATACCTGAGTTCAATTTCTGTAGCCACCCCCAAGCCTGATTACTGCCACACCTGTTTCAATCAAGAAATCACTTAAATATGAGCTGCCTGACACAGAGAAGTAGACCAAAAGCACCTCAAAAGCTAGACATCATGCCAAGATCCAAAGAAATTCAAGAACAAATGAGAACAACTCTGTTAAGCAAAAAGAACATTAGGGCTCGTCTCAATTTTGCTAAGAAACATCTCAATGATTGCCAAGACTTTTGGGAAAATACCTTGTGGACTGATGAGACAAAAGTTGAACTGTTTGGAAGGCAAATGTCCCGTTACATCTGGCACAGAAGTAACACAGCATTTCAGACAAAGAGCATCATACCAGCAGTAAAATGTGGTGGTGGTAGTGTGATGGTCTGGGGTTGTTTTGCTGCTTCAGGAACTGGAAGGCTTGCTGTGATAAATGGAACCATGAATTCTACTGTCTACCAAAACATCCTGAAGGAGAATGTCCGACCATCTGTTCGTCAACTAAAGCTGAAGCGATGTTGGGTGCTGCAGCAGGACAAGGACCCAAAACACACCAGCAAATCCACCTCTGAATGGCTGAAGAACAACAAAATGAAGACTTTGGAGTGGCCTAGTCAAAGTCTTGACTTGAATCCTATTGAGATGCTATGGCATGACCTTAAAAAGGCGGTTCATGCTAGAAAACCCTCAAATAAAGCTGAATTACAACAATTCTGCAAAGATGAGTGGGTCAAAATTCCTCCAGAGCGCTGTAAAAGACTCGTAGCAAGTTATCGCAAACGCCTGATTGCAGTTATTGCTGCTAAGGGAGGCCCAACCAGTTATTATGTTCAGGGGGCAATTACTTTTTCACACAGGGCAATGTAGGTTTGAATTTTGTTCTCTCCCTAAATAATAAAAAAAACATCAATCATTTCAAACCTGCATTTTGTGTTTACTTGTGTTATATTTGACTAATGGTTAAATGTATTTGATGATCAGACACATTTTATGTGACAAACATGCAAAAGAATAAGAAATCAGGAAGGGGACAAATAGTTTTTCACACCACTGTATATCTATGTTAATCTTAACTCGGTTCATCAAGTGCTTTGATAGTTTCACTCAGCATATGTCTGTGCTGTTGGGATTAACTTGAGGTCTCTTCCATAACAACAACAGGAAAACATTCCTTTTGTATTATTGGTGGAGAAGGTTTACCAGAGCTGAGGAAAACAGCCACATTAGACCCTTATTTTGAAGGATGTCTGAAGCATGTTCCCTAGATTCTTGGGTTTATGATGGTTGCTGTTTTCATGCTGGCTGTGACCAACCTGCCGAGGCCCAAGGATCAGCTGGCTGACTGAACAGCTTGTTCAGTTTCTCCTGCATGTCCTTCTTGCCTCTGTTCTCGTCCTCCTCTTCTAGAGACCCGACTCCCTTCCTCCCCTCCTCCTTCTCCTCCATCCCTCTCCTCTTCCTCTCCTCCTCCTCCTGAGTAACTCTGTTCAGCCAGGCGTGCGATGCTGAGACGGAGGCGGGGCTGGGGGCTTTAGCTGCTGAACTTCCTGCTTCATGTGAAGACAGCCTGCACGTTGGTTGGAAAATAGGTACTTAACAAAACTTCAGATGAATCTAGATTTTGGTGAACATTGATTTTATTTGGGAGAACTCTCACCCGCCCTCCTGCAGTTCAGCAGACTTTCTCTCACTGTGCGTTTGCATGTGAGGGAGTGTGTGTGTCTGTATGTGTGTGTCTCCCTCTAGCTCCTTCTGTTTCAGCCTCTGCTGGCGGGTGTGGATCTCCCGCAACTCCTGCAAAGCATCATGGGAAACAGGAAGGAACAACAATGAGGACGAAGTGGGATCAGAAGGCTAGTTGCTACGGGTTACCATCAACAATGAACAGGAACAACACCACCAGTAGCAGTAGCACATTTGTCAGGTGACTGAAGCAAGCTCCGCCCCTTGTTGCTGTGGTACTGTGGCTACAAACACTGAAGGTAACCATGGCAACATGTTAACGCCATAGTTTTTCTATTATGAAACACAATGCCAAACAGATTTTTAGAGGTTATGGTTACGAAGAAAAATGGAGCAAGAATGTCTCCGTCTGCTCTGGATTTACAGTAAATGTTTATTATTTTGTGTGTGTGTGTGTTTTATCTTTTGGCTGAAGATTGTTCTTGACTTTTTAAACTGCTTGCAAAGTATTTTTGTTTATTAAAGATGCACAAAAGTGACACTGACCTCCGGTGGTCAAATTTTGGTACTGCAGCCCACAAAAACAAATGTGTCCACTTAGTGACACCCCCTCTGTGCTGGGGCCTCTGCTCTTCCTCCTCTATCTGATTCCTCTTCAGCACATCCTGAGCTCCTTCAAAGGAATCTCCTGCCATCTTTATGCAGATGACATCCAACTGTACATCTCCTTTAAGCTCCATAAGCTGCAGCTGTTACACACCTGCTTAGACTCTATTAAAACCTGAATGGCTGCTTTCTACAGCTGAATGAAGATAAGACTGAGATCCTCATCTGTGCCCCAGACAAGCTGGTTCTCAAAGTCAGAGACTCTCTTGGTCAGCTTGCTTCTCACACCAAACCTTCTGTCAGGAATCTTGGTGTGACCTTTGACCCGGCCCTCACCCTTGGTACACAGAGTCCCGTTATTTACATTCATTTGTTACAACTCCTAGTTTTATTCAATGTCAGATATGACATGAAGAGAAAGGAAATGTGGCAGAAGTCCAAATAAAAACTCAAGAACATCTGATGATATATTTTAAACAGTCTAGATTCTAGGAAGACAATACTGTTTTTAACAAAAGATGTTTGCACAGAGAAGGGGTGTGACTGGAGGAGGGTTTTGTTGCTACTGGATACTGATGCAAGCAAAACCCAAAATGCTGGTGAAGGCAAAGGGGCGGAGCTTGCATGAGGCACTTTACTGTGGGATGAGTTAACAAAAGAAGACATGGGGGAGATGGGTAATCAGAAAAGGGTGCAGGACAGCTCTGAGTAGTCATGACAACCATCTGTGCCATTAGAAAACACACCGTTACTACAACAACCCAGGCAGCAAACCCACATGAGAGAAGAGACTGACAGCCAAAGATACAGAAAACTCCACAACACCTGAAACAGGAAGTGGAAGTGACATGAGACAACAGACACACATTCACCCACATAAAGTAACCTGACATACTCCTAGCTTCTTCTCGTGTGGCTGAAACATCACTAGATACAGCAGAGCTACGGTTACGTAATTCAGTATCAGGGCCAAGCAAAGGAGGACAGCTGGGTGCGTAGTAAGACCAGCAAGACAATCATCCTAGATATGGTAGCTTTACTCCTGTTTCTTAACCTGAGTTAACCAAACTAGGTAACTCTATGAAGACCTCTGCATGCCCCCTCGACATCTTACCATCATCTTTGTTTAAAAGTGCTTTTCAGTCCATCGGCCCCAGCGTGCTCTCTATAATTAATGCTTCTCTGGTTTCTGGTCAGGTCCCTGCTTACTTTAAGAACGCTGTAATCCACCCACTTCTTAAAAAAACGAGTCTCGACCCCTCTCTCCATAGCAGCTTCAGACCCATCTCTAAACTTCCGTTCATCTCCAAGATCTTGGAAAAGGTTGTGGCTAAACAACTCACAGCTGCTCTTGATGAACATAACATCTATGATAGCTTCCAGTCAGGTTTTCGTAGAGCTCATTCTACTGAAATAGCTCTTCTTAGGGTTTCTAATGACCTTCTGACTCAAAGTGATACATGGGACTGTTCTGTTCTGGTCCTGCTGGACCTGACTGCAGCCTTTGACACTGTTGACCATCACCTGCTACTGGAGAGGCTGAGAGACTGGGTAGGCCTTTCAGGAACTGCTCTGGAGTGGTTCTCCTCTTATCTTTCTGAGCGCTCCTTTTCTGTGGCCGTCTCCAAGTTTAGGTCCTCCACCACCTACCCTACCCATGGTGTCCCACAAGGTTCTTTGCTGGGGCCTCTGCTCTTCCTCCTTTATTTGCTTCCTCTTCAGCACATCCTGAGCTCCTTAAAGGAATCTTCTACCATCTTTTTACACATATTTTTTTATTATCAAATGTCTTGACATGGAACAATGATCTCACTAAGAGTCAGATAATTCGATTATGATACATTTTTGATTTATTGCCAAGACCTAGTGTGACTTTTGACCCAGCTCTCACCCTGGAGTCTCATGTCAGTTCTCTTGTTCGCTCTTCCTTCTTCCATCTCAGGAACATTGCTAAGCTGAGTCCCATTCTGTCCCGCGCTGAACTTGAGACAGTTATACACACCTTCATCTCCTCACGCTTAGACTACTGTAACTCTCTTTTCACGTGTCTGAGCAGAACCTCCCTGAACCGTCTACAGGTGGTTCAGAATGCCTGTGCTCGGCTTCAGACCAAGTCCTCCAAACACACCCACATCACCCCGCTTCTCCTCCAGCTTCACTGGCTGCCAGTCAACTTCAGGGTTCATTTCAAGATCCTGGTTCTGGTCTATAGGGCCTTACATGGACAAGCACCATCATACATTGGTGATCTTCTTAGTCCCTACACCCCCAGCAGGTCCCTGAGGTCCAGTGACCAAAGCCTACTGGTTGTGCAGCACCAGGCTAAAGACCAAAGGTGACAGATCATTTGCTGCTGTGGCCCCCAGACTCTGGAACTCTCTCCCCCTGAGCCCGGGATCAGTGGACTCAGTGGTCTCCTTTAAGCCCGAACGACACTGTGCTATTTTCAGCCAACTTTACCAATGCATATTATTAACTAAACACCAGTTTTAATTTTTGTTAATAGCCCAAGTTAAACCAAAGTTATAGTTCAAATAATTAAACTACCTTTTTAGACCATCAGCTTTTGTGAATTGTCAAAACCGTGATTCTGGCATTAAGGTTAAGGATTCTGTGATCTGTGAGAGGAGATGAGCTCATGAACATAAAAAAGAAAACACAAAAACATGACATCTCTTTGCTGCTGGTGGAAATCTCACATATTCAACTGATAAAGATGGGTTCAGTTGAATTTGCTGCTAAGAGACAGAAAGTTGCGTGAGTGACAGCTGATGTGAAAAAGGAGCGATGTGCTGTCACCAAGCGGAGTACTTAGTGAGACAGAAATTGATGGCAAAACTTTAGACATTGGAGCAATCTGTGTCAGATTTTGTGTCACTTTTCTGTAGTCCTGTCGTGTTTTTTTTAAGTATACAGGAGGATGAGAAGGATGAATGTTAAGCAGACAGCTCAGCTGTTTAGGCTGAAGACAGGAAATGAAGACTTGCAGCTGGAGTCTGAGGCCAAAGCGAGGTTTCTTGAAAACAATCCTTTCTCTTTGGGGAAGATGAGCTCGATCATGAGACACTGAAAAGAAGTGATAACAGTCAAGCCTTTTTCTCTTTTCTGCTTTGTTTTGGTTAGCTGTCTGCTTTTAGTGACGTATGCTTTTCGGGGGTAACGCTCATGACGTTGCGTGCCCTGCTAAAGCGGGACATCGGGCAGTCTTGCTCACTGACACTTGCACCGTACAGTGTGCCACCTATCTGGAGTTCTCAGTGTGACATGAGCAGTCTTGTGTGACGGCCAAAAATCGCAGAATAGTCCCTGCTGTGACCTCCTGCTGATTCAGTTGATTCTTCGTCAATACCTTCACTTTGCCAGATCCCGTATTACCTATTCTTATTCATTTTCTTTCGTATTTTTCATAATTTTTATTCAAATGTTTTCATTTTCCCAAAATTTTATTACAATATTTTTAAACACATTTTTATTATAAATATTCTTTGTTTATTTTTTTACTGACTAGCAACATTACTGGGTTAACAAGCTGTCTGTATTCTGATTGGTAATTTCTTCTTATTAGGAATGATATTCATCAAATAACATAATGCTTATCACCTGCTGTCTCATAACTGAACAAATATCCACCAGGCTGATTGTTGTCAACAAAAACATGATGCACACAGAATAACAAGTCTGTTCAATTACATTTAAACGTTATGTACATGGTTTATTTTCTTGTTGTTTTATATGCCTGAGGCTCTTATTGTGAAGGGTTTAAAAGAAAGTCTAGGTTTTAAACAACCGTTGCTGTCAGGATGATTTTAGATAATCTATTAAGTGTGTGTGCACTCATAACCAGAGTTTAACCAGCATCACTGATTAAAACTGATAAAACCTCCTCATTTCATTGAACATAGCAGGCTAACATGTTAGCAACCTCGCATTAGCTGTTACGCATCATGCAGATACAGACGACTTGTTAAATCAGAAGTTAGTACATCATTACATCGACTTTCCTTCTTCACTTTCTTCAGAAGGAGGTTTAGATGTAGTCTCTTGAGGCATAAAAACCTCCAGTTCTCCATTATCACCACCTCAGTGCTGCATCTGTTCATCAATCTAACAATTGAATGATCCCCAGTGTAAGCAGCAAATCCAATAATGGCTGTAATATTAACAACAGATTTCACCACCTTTCAAACTGTTAACTGTTTCACCAGTTCAAGCAGAATAGAAGTTATATAAATAGAGAAATAGCAGAAGAGAAGAAAAGGGAGAAGCTGGAGAGATGGGGGTGAAGGTTGGGTTGCTTTGTGGACCTTTATCATAAAGTATAGCTAAGTGGGACAGCGGATAAACACTCCTATAGCTGTCCCTGCTCCTGGTGCTGAAACACACACACACACACGCAAGCACGCACAACATGCAACACAAACACACACACACACACACACATGCAACACACACACACACGTCTGTCTTTCTACCATAGTGAGGACCATCCATTGACTTCGATTCATTTTTGTGACTCCACTATGTTATACAACCCATACCCTAACCCTAACCCTAACTAATGCTGATCTATTCCTATTCCTAACCTTAACTAAAACTTAATTCACACCAAATCTTTAACAACTGGTAAGCTTCTAAAAAAAAGTGAGGACCACAAAAATGTCCTCACATTGTAGGGAAAATTGTGAAAATGGTCCTCAGTATGTAGTAAGTTTCAATTGGTTTTAATAATAACAGTTTAAATAACCTCTACTGTAATATTTCTATTTCTATCTGGCGTCTGTGGTTTTGCTGGCAAACAAAGCCTAAGCATGGGTTAGTTTGTGCCTCCTCCTCAGACGCGTTGGGCATTACTGGACCAGAGACAAACTGGTGAATCAGCAGGATGTGAGCATGTCTTCTGCTGACTACTAAACTAAACTCACTCCACCATTTTGATAATAAATCACAAAAGTAACGGGGCTTGGAGGTTGGGCTCAGCAGCATTGTTATGATTATTACTCCTCATCATCCCAACTGCAGTACCACCCCATTCCAGCAGCGGCAGTGTGCTCTACCTGTCTCCCTTTCTCTTCCTCCTGAAGCTGGCGTTGCAGGGCTTCTATCCTGGCACAGTGGTTGGCATAGAACTCACACAGAGACTGGCATGGCAGCAAAATGCCAGTGTAGGAGGTAAATACAGGGAGTAGAAAATATAGAAGGACGGGTTCATTAAGTGGTTTCAACAAAGAATCACACAGGAAGAAAATGAGAAAAAAAAGGACAGTTAGAGGGAGCAGAAACAAATGAATGAAAGAGAATAACCAAGAGGGTGAGTCCCGGTGGGTACAGAGGACAGTGATGGGGGAGGGACAGATGGGACATCTGCCATCTATACCTCTTTGACTGATCATTTCATCAGAGACACAGAAAAAACGGAAACCAGGTTTGTTCTCTACTTTCCCAAATCTGTAAAATGGCTCCTTCCCTAAATAATCCTGACAGCCAACCAGATTAGATTAGATAAACTGTTAGAGAATGTGTTTATAGCTCACTGTGCTCCTCCTGCTCTTTATCATCCTCCTCGTTGTTGGAACAAAACCAGAAAACAGATCCTGCTCTCTTCGTCCTGTCTCACTGTCCCATATATTACCTGTCTCACTGTCCAGAATACAACCCGTCTCACTGTCCCATATATTACCCGTCTCACTGTCCAGAATACAACCCGTCTCTCTGTCCCATATATTACCTGTCTCACTGTCAAGGATACATCCTGTCTCACTGTCCCATATATTACCCGTCTCACTGTCAAGGATACAACCTGTCTCACTGTCCAGAATACAACCTGTCTCACTGTCCCATATATTACCCGTCTCACTGTCAAGGATACAACCTGTCTCACTGTCCCATATATTACCTGTCTCACTGTCCAGAATACAACCCGTCTCACTGTCCCATATATTACCTGTCTCACTGTCAAGGATACAACCTGTCTCACTGTCTAAGTTGCAATTTTCACTGTCCTGTATACAACCTGTCTCAATGTCCCGTCTACAACCTGTCTCACTGTCCCGTATACAACCTGTCTCACTGTCCCGTATACAACCTGTCTCACTGTCCCGTATACAACCTGTCTCACTGTTCCGTATACAACCTGTCTCACTGTCCCGTATACAACCCATCTCACTATCCAGGATACAACCTGCCTCGCTGTCTAAGTTGCAATTTTCAAAAATACTTTAATACCAGAGGGAAATTAAGAGTTTCAGTACACACAATTCTGAGATCATACATACATAGATACATGACAAGAATTGGTGACTGTGGTTCACTGTCCCATATATAACCCATCTCACTGTCCCATACATAACCCGTCTCACTGTCCCATACATAACCCGTCTCACTGTCCAGGATACAACCTCTCATTATCTCACTTGTATCACTTTCTAGGACACAACCAGTGTCACTGTCCCTTATACAAAGTGTCTCACTATCCAAGCTACAACCTGTCTCACTTTCCAGGATACAACCAGTTTCACTGTCCTAGCTGCAACCTGTCTCACTTCCCCGGATAAATCCTGTCTCACGGTCCAAGATTTAAATAGAAAAATAAAACTGTTGCCTCTGAAGTAATAAAGTTAACCACAGCGGTCTACTTCACACACACACACACACACACACACACACACACACACACACACACACACACACACACACACACACTATGAAGAATGGGACAGAATGTAGTTTAAAGAGTAAAAAGTTAATTAGTGGATTAGTGTTTCTTTAACTGTCGTCACCGTCTTCCTCCGCTTATCTGGGTCCGGGTTGCGGGGGCAGCATCCCAACTAGGGAGCTCCAGACCGTCCTCTCCCCGGCCACCTCCACCAGCTCCTCTGGCAGGACCCCAAGGCGTTCCCGGACCAGATGTAACCTCTCCAACGTGTCCTGGGTCGACCCGGGGGGCTCCTGCCGGCAGGAATGCCCGAAACATCTCCCCAGGGAGGCGTCCAGGAGGCATCCTGACCAGATGCCCAAACCACCTCAACTGGCTCCTTTCGATCCGGAGGAGCAGCGGTTCTACTCCGAGTCCCTCCCGAATGTCCGAGCTCCTCACCCTATCTCTAAGGCTGAGCCCGGCCACCCTACGGAGGAAACTCATTTCGGCCGCTTGTATCCGCGATCTCGTTCTTTCGGTCATTACCCAAACCTCATGACCATAGGTGAGGATTGGGACGTAGATCGACCGGTAAATCGAGAGCCTGGCTTTCTGGCTCAGCTCCCTCTTCACCACGACAGATCGGCTCAGCATCCGCATCACTGCAGACGCCGAACCAATCTGCCTGTCAATCTCCCGATCCCTCCTACCCTCACTCGTGAACAAGACCCCGAGATACTTAAACTCCTCCACTTGAGGTAGGACCTCTCCCCCGACTCGGAGTTGGCAAGCCACCCTTTTCCGGTCGGCCGTGTTTCTTTAGCTGATGGATTTTAATAGTAAACATGCTATTTTTTATGTTACATAAACGTACAATACTTTGTTCTAAATATAAATGAAGTTAATATTTAGTCTTGACATGCTCATGTCCGATTGTTTGTTGACCAAAAGATTCTTTGTTTTAACAGCAGGTGTCGTTTATGAGCTTGGCTGTAACCTGCAGATCTGATGATTTAGAACTTTTACAAGCTGAAGCAAATGTTTACATCCTGCTGAGCATAGATTAGTTGATTTAACTACATCTATAATAAAACTTTTCTGACCTTTCTCAGTGGTCTAGTGGTAGAGTGTCCGCCCTGAGACTGGGAGATCAGGGGTTTGATTCCTGGTCGGGTCATCCCAAAGACTTTGAAAAAAATGGACCCAGTGCCTCCCTGCTTGACACTCAGCATTAAGGGGTTGGATTGGGGGGGTTAAACCACCAAATAGTTCCCGAGCGCGGCTGTGTCTGCAGCTCACCGCTCCCCCAGGGGATGGGTCAAACGCGGAGAACAAATTTCGCACACACACCTGTGTGTGTGACAACTAATGGGACTTTAACTTTTAAACTAGGTAGTTAAGTGGCTTTAAATGATCCAGCACAGCGGTGACATGTTGATATTTGTTTACCTTCAGCTGTGTGTTGAACGCATCTATTTCCAGCAGTTTAGCTCTGGTCTCTCTCTCCACAGCATCAAGCTGCTCTTTCAGCTGCTCTCTGCTGCTCTCTTTCTGCTCAACGGCTTTCTGTAGAGATGATAGACTGTCCCCTACAAACACACCATGGAAACTCATTATTCCAAACAGAAGTAAAAGGTCCTCACACAAACAGGAAAAACAGATGATCTGATTTTCATGGTTTTAGTTCAGGTTAAAGCATCACCAATCATTTCAATTCTAATATTTGCAACTGGAGCTTTAGCTACTGAAAACTCTTAAAAGTATGTCAGAGTTTTGCAGCTAAATGCAACATTTGAACTCTAGATTCAGTTCAGTTCAGTTCACTTTATTTCAAACATATACATTCACCAACATTTCATAAAATCATTCCACGCAATTGTTTGAAAAGGAGTAGGGAGAAGTGTATACTTATTTAGCCCTACCCCCTAGATCAGGGCTATTCAATTCTCGATGGCCAGTATCCAGCACGTTTTTGTGGTTTCTCTGCTCTAGCAAACTAGATTCACTGGTTGAATCACCTGTGCAGAGCTCATCAGGCTCTGCAGAAGCCTGTTAATCACCGGCCCTTGAAGCCCGGCGTTGAATAACACTGATCTAGATGTATCTCATGTGTTTCCACAAAGCTAAAAGATGAATCACTCAGTTCTTAAACACAACCAATAAGAAGTCTCAGAAGAGCGGTCTACGATGTAAAAACATTGTTCAGAGAAAATGAAGCAATCTTTGCATTTCTGTTCAGCTTTCTGAATTTTTAAAGTCAGTTTGGAGCCAGAGCTAAAACCAAAGGGTCATCGGAGCAGAGCCAAGGGAAGGAGAGTAACATTTTGAATAAATGAATATTGATTTATGAAATCTGCAGGTTTGCTATGTTCTCAATCACCTCTGATTAGAAAATGTCATATATATAATAACAACAGTACCTCTCATAGTTTTGCAGATGACACCATCTAGCTCCATCACCTAGTGACTGTGGTCCCCTAGACTCACTCTGTCAGTGTTAGAACAAATGAATGACTGAATGCAGTCAACCTTCCTCCAGCTAAACAAAGACAAGACTGAAGCTATTGTTTTTGGAAATAAGGAGAATAGATTGGCTCCAGAGGACTAAAGACAAAGACCCAGGTTAGAAATCTTGGTGTCATAATTGATTCAGACCTGAGCTCCACTGGTCACATTAAGGCTATAACTAGATCAGCGTTTTATCATCACGTATTCCTCCTCCAGCGTCCTTAAATCTTCCAGTGCCCAGATCAACATTACTGGGATTTATTTTAAACAAGTAAAGCTGTAGCATAGTGGTGGCCATTTCTTACCAGAGTAAGTATTTATAATGCTAAAATTAGGTTTTAACGGGGTTAAATACTGGCGGTGTTTGCTCCGAACCCAACTTCCGCCCCAAAAAATAAAAACACAACGAGTCTTGGGAAAATCTATAAAAGCAAATCTGCTGAAGTCCTTGACAGAAAACTTTATTTAGTGGTGATTTTGTTCGATTTGACGAACTTAAGGCTCAAAACCGCAGCAAGAAGTTAATGCGACAGCACTCATACTCACCGTGAGCGCCGTACTGCCTCGTCGTCTGCAGCGTGCTGTGACTGGTCAAATAACGACACGTGACTAATACACTAGAATAAAGACCGTTTGTGAACAAAACAACCCCCCCGCCACAATAAAAAGTCTTTGGATTTACATGATTCACGTGAACGCCACATTTGGCTTCAAAAACGGCAATTTTCGCCAAAAAGCTACAAGTTTGCGTGTTAGTTTGGTACAGGTGTGTCTAAGGATCGCATGATGGGTTAGGGTGTGTGTGTTGTACTCACGATGCAGACTGCTCTGCTGAACCTGTTTCAACTGGTCGTTCAGACACTGTTTATCAGGGATCAGCCTCCCCAGCCACTGCTGCGACTCCTGCACAACCAGAAAGGCCTTACAGCAGAAATATTTACAAACAAGTCTTAAAGCTGCTCTACAGAGGGCGCACCACGTGGTCGTTAGAGAAACTGCAGTCCGTAAAATTCTTATGCCCATGACGTTCAAACCTATTTATTATTTTTTCCCAAATTATTTACCTGTTTATTCATTATTATTAACTACCACCCTTAAGTAAAGGAAAACCTGTGTCAGGAGAAGCATTGGAAGGAGATGCTGATGTTAGTTGGCAAGTTTTTTGGAGAGTGCATTGGAGAACCAGGGGGATAGAGCTGGTGATTGCGGAACATTATCCCGGGATCAGTGAGCCGACATCGGACTGTCCTAGAAGGTTTTCCCACTCCCCATCCTGGTACTGAAACGTTTCAAAGTTCTGGAGCTTAGTACCAGACTGTGATGTGCAGCAGTGCCGTCTGCCAGTGTTGCATGACTCTGGACAGAAGGAGGTGGACATGCAGAGATCCAGGATGGAATTATCAGCCTTTGGGGCCACTTCTGAGTGCCCAAATCTGTCCAGAACCAGGAGGAGGAGCGGCCGGAGATGGACCGGGCATGATTTGCTGGCAGGATACATTTTTAAATGTATGTTTCCATTCGTTAGTTTAGCTTCTCTAGAAGCTAACTGAAGGAGAGCACAGCCTTCTCTTGAACGTGCATACATCATGACACATGCTCTCACAGGGTGGTACCGGCCCAAGCCCCTTCTAAATGAATGGAATTTCTTCCTCTACAAACAGTCGTGGCAAAAAGTTCTAGATTCACTCGTATGGGTATAGATGTAAAATGGTTTTATGTAACCAAAACTATTACATAATGCAGCTTTCTGCTACAGCAGTAAAGACGGATGTAGAGCGTACCTGCAGCTGCTGCTGTAGCTGTGTGATTTCAGCGATGCGCGTTTCTCTGGTCTGATTGGTCTGCTCCATCTCCCTCCGCTGAGCCGACAGACGAAAACGAACATCTTTCAGTTTACCCTCCAACTGGTTCTTCTTATCATTCTGAAGAAACAAATACAGAAATTAGATTATGTACAACATCCTTTATCCTAGACAATAACTAGACGCCAACTTCGGACTAGGACAACATCACTGCTCCAAGCCGTGCCTGTAATGTTATGGATAAGATCCTCATGTGTGCTCTGTGCGTTCTGGATTATGTAACTGATTACCAGAGCCTCCAGTTCAAACTCCAGAGTCTTCTTCCTGGCTTTGAGCAGGACGATACTTTCTTGTTCTCTGTTTCTTTGCGTCAGAAGCTCCTGGCGACGCTGCCTCTCCCACTCCAGCTGACGCTGGCGCTCTAATTCCCTTTTAGCGGCCTGGAAATAAACAGCATAACAGAGTGAACTTGACAGTAAACGTCTTCAGTATGAACATCAAGAGATGTGGTTGACTGTAAACAGTTGCACAAGGTTGTCGGGACAAGCTGATAAGGTCAACAGCTGCAGCTCTAGATCATACCTCCCTCCTTTCTATCTCCTTGCGCCGCTCCTCTTCTCTTTGCCTCTCTAGCTCTCTCTGTTTCTCCAGTTGCTTCTCTAGTTCCTGCTGTCGCCTCCGCTCTTGCTCCAGCCGCTCGCGCTCCTGAAACATAAACATGCGGGTTAGTTGTTGAAGTCCCTTGTGCCGACAAGCAAAGTTACACTGAGAAGGTTTAAGACTAACTACAATCCCTGACTGATTCAAATTTCATCAAACACATTATGGAAATTAGAAATGTGCATCACATTTACCTTTCTCTCCTGTTCTTCTCGTTCTAGAGCAGCCAGCCGTTCCTGCTCTTTCCTCTGCTGCTCCTGAAGAGCCTGACGTCTCTTCTCCAATTCCAGGTTCCCTCGCTCAAAGTTCTCCCTCTTTTTATCCTCAAACGTCACTGAGGTGAGAGAATTTGTGAACAGGTCTTTATTTAGTGCAGTATTGGTGATTATGACTCACACTCAGACATTAAATCCAAACAGTCAGCATCTCAGAAAATTAAATTATGAAAAAGGACATTATAAACAGAAATGTCAGGCTTCTGAAAGGTCTGCGTGATTCACTGCATCCATGCAGCGTGGAGGCTACGTCAGGGCGACCCATCAGACTGTGGCTCTGCTCAGGTGTGATAGATCTCAGGCTGCTTTGCTAGCAGCCTTCAGGTCTTCTGCATCATTGGCTCAGGTGGTTTTCACCCTCTCCTCTCTTTCTCCAGACCTTGATCTCCAAATGACCTGCAGACTTTACTTTCATCTGAAAAGAGGACTTTGGGCCACTGAGCATCAGCCCAGTTCTCAGGTAGCCCAGGTATGATGCTTCTGGTGTCTCTGGTTCAGGAGTTGTTTGTCGTGAGGAATGTGACATCTGTAGGCTGTGTGTAGAAGCTCTAGATCAGTGGTTCCTAACCTTTTTCCTTTGCCTGTGTCAACGACAAGCCAGGACAGCCCAACCTCATCTCCTACCCCCCCCCCTCCGCACACACACACACAGCAAAAGTAATTAATGAAGTTGTGGGACCTCCTTGGGGGGTTACAGACCCCAGGGTGGGGACCACTGCTCTAGATGATCCATCTCCAGCATCAGTCGTGGTGAAGGTCCACCAGATTCCTGAATGAATGATCCCTTCCCTGCTCCTGCTGCTCCTTTTCCTACCACCTCTGTGAACATGCTTGGATGCATGCAGCTTCTTTAGCAATCACCTTCTGTGGCTTCCCCTCCTTGTGAACAGTGTCCACAAGTGACATCTGGGCATGTGTCCAGTCAGCATTTGTCCTCATGGTTGTGTGTCCTACTGAGCCAGAATGAGACCATTCATCAGGCTTTCATGTGTGGGTTGGCCTGGTCAACATGCTCATTATCAGTCTGGATGCAGTGGAGTAAACATCTCCTCTGACTGCAGCTCGGACCTCCTTCTCCAGCAGCGGCAGCGTGAGGACAAACTGCTGTGAGGAGCACGCAGCAGTCTCAAGAGACAGCAGGAAGCTGTGTGCTTCATATCACAGTCTCCAAAAGCAACACGGCTCCACGCGTCTTTTGCCCCGCCCGCGTGCTCGGAGACATCCGCCTTCCTGAGAAGGCTGTGTGAACCAGACATCATTGTGTGAACGGAACCTGGCCCAACAAGACCGGACCGGGCCGAGCCAGATGTGAACGTGTCTTTAGGTGCACCTGCTGCAGGTGTTTGGAGTTATTTAGCTGATTAGTGTGACACCAAGAGTTTCCAGTCTCTAACTTTTCACAATATTCTAATTTTCTGAGACTAAAAGTTTGAGTTTTTGTCATCTGTAAGCAATATTCATCAGTGCAAAAAGAAATACAGGCTTGAGAAAAATTATATGTAATTAATCTACATCATTTATGAGTGTTACTTTCTGAAATAAGTGACAGAAATAGTCTGTTTTGATGCTTTTGTCATCGTTTTAGACGTGGCTGTAAAACAGCCGAGAGATGATGTAGTACCTGTTTGATGCCATGAAGAGATCAGAAAACTCACCCGGTAATTTCTTCTCCTGGCTGCTCTCCGTCTCCTCTTCCGGTTCCTCCTGAACACTCTTCTGGTCCGACTGAACACTGTCGCTTCGTACACGCCTAAACCACACACACGCAATCAACACACTCTTCTTCTTCTTCTACTGCTGTCAGTCTTGAGATTAATAACAATACATCATTACAGCTTTCATGTAAACAAGCGGTAATCAGCACGTTTTAGTTTTAACTTTGTTTCAACACCTGATGAGTTGCTGCACAGGTGATTCAACTAGGGACGTTCCGATCACTGGTTTTGCTCCCGATCCAATTCCGAGTCATTTGATTTTAAGCATCTCCCGATACCGAGTCCCAATCCGATACTTTAGAAATGCATTTAGAAACAAGGAGAACAAACGAGTTGTCCTTTAAGTTTTTAAATCATTAATGTGTTTCTTTCTTTCTGTATTTATGTCATTTCTTTAGTTTATTTGCTATAAAACATCACTAGTTTAGGACGTACATTAATAAGAAATGTGTTAAAATTGAGAAAGTATGTAAGAATAAATTGTCATTTATCATTTACATCAGTGTTGAACGCAGCACAACCTTTTACACCTCGTTAAATGCCCAGTTTGCACACATTACACGTGTTTATTACACTCCTTTTGCTGTTCATTTAAAAATACAACCAAATTACAGACATTTTCTCTTTTGAGATGACAACTATGCCCTGTGTTAGCTAGCTGCTGTATGTTATGGTGTGTGAATTCACAGACGTATTAAGGCTACAACTAAATCAGCTTTTTATCACCTTCATCAAAAATCAAGAGTCACAGTCTCATGTCCAGACCAGACTTAGAGAAACGTATTCATGCTTTTATTTCTAGTTGGCTGGACTATTGCAATGGTCTCCTAACTGGTCTTTCCAAAAAAAGCTGTGAAGCAGCTGCAGCTTGTTCAGAATGCTGCTGCTAGAGTTTTAATAAGAACTAAGAGAACGGAGCACATCACTCCTGTTCTTAGATCGCTACACTGGTTACCAGTAAACTACAGAATAGGTTTCAAAGTGCTCCTGCTAGTTTATAAATCACTCAATGGCACGGGACCAAAATACATGTCAGGTCTCATTCCTGTATACACACCCAACAGGGCTCTGAGATCCCATGGAAACAATCAGCTGGTAGAACCTCGGGTCAGAACAAAACATGGTGGAGCTGCATTTAGCTATAATGCTGCTCACATATGGAATCAGCTTCCCCATGACCTCAGATGTGCCCCAACCCTAGTGTTGTTTACAACAAAACTAAAAGCCCTCAAGTACTCACCAGCCTTTAAATGAATTGTTTCTTATCATGCGTCGTCTCCACTGTACTCTGACCTGTAACTTTGTCTCCTTTAGCTCTAAACTATAATTCTATTTATGTGTATTTTAATTTGTGTTTTTATGTTGTTTTCATATCATGTCCTGATAATTGTAAAGCACATTGAATTGCCTCTGTGTTTGAAATGTGCTCTATAAATAAAGCTGCCTTGCCTTGTTTTATATGGTTAAATCCGATTTTTCCAACCCGATTCCGATTTCCTGAAAATCTGATCGGATCAGAGCATGCCCAGATTCAACCACTGAACCTAGTGTGCTGGAGCAGAGAAACCACTCCAGGACCAGTGATGTTGACTCTTACAGGACCAAACATGAGCCATCTGCTGCTGAGGTGTAATAATGACCTTTACCTGAAAGTTGGTGGGAGGTAATCTGGTGGCAACACTGGAGGAAGAGGTAACCCTGACATAGCCATATCTATGAGGTGCATAGCCAAGATGAACTCCTCAGCTGTTAGCTTTCCATCCTGGTCGATGTCAGACAGACCCCTAAAGAGAAAAACAACAAAACAAGTTCATATTGATGGCTATGGTTTCATTAGAAATGGTGGAATTTTAATACTATACCATATTGTGGCCAGCTGACTCTGAGGAAGACTGGACTGCATCAGGATAGTGCGAGCCTGGGGTCCTGAACAAGACAAGCACACTGAATAAAGATGTGATTCAGCTAACAACAACAGCAACATGCTAACGTGTCTATGTACCAGTGAGATATCCACTCATCATCTTGTCATGGGAGTTAAAAAGCTGTCTGTACTTGAGCCTGGAGGACTGAGGAACCACC